CAAGTTGTTGTAGCATTTTTGAAAGGCACTTTATACATGTCAATTATTTGTTGTACTGTAAGGCGCTGCATGAATGTAAATTTTATTGATGTACTGTATAGTAAGTTGTGGTATAAACAGAAATTGTCTTGTATTACTAGGGACTGAGTGGCCTTTGCTATCTTTTCCCAGTTGCATTATTAATGTGTTAGCTTTGATAGTGAGCATTGGCTCCCCCAGCACTACATCATCCTAAACCACGAGTATCATCCTAAACCACATGTTCAAAGTCCTAATGTGGGACTTCAACGCAGAGGCAAGAGTCCTACTAACTGACACGCAAGATAACACCTGTAAAATAATCTTTGCTGTGGAATTTTGACCCTAGAATTCACTGGAAGATTTGAAGAGGTTAAAATACAAAAATTGCAAGTTGGAAAGCCAACATAGACATTCATTCCTCAGAGAGCAAAAGTATACAGTATTGCTTAGAGTTGCAATTGTCTTTTGTTGCGCACTCAGCAAAGTGCTGCAGCTATGCGTATGTGTGAGTGGAAAATGCACAAACCAAATGGTGCCAGTCATGCAGAGTTTTGGGTCCCTGTGCAGCGGAGGGATAAGAAAGAGGTTCTTCCTGCAACGGTGAATGTTCAAGATCACAGCAAGGGGTGAGAGCACGCACACATACCAATTAGAGAAATAGCACCCTCTCTGTCTCCATAAAGTCTCCATAAAGCACGTACTCTTGGTCTCCATGTTATAGTTGTGAACCTGTTCATCTCACATCTGGGGTTCAAACTTCACGTTCGGACTTTGATACTCCAATGCAGTGCTGAGGGAACTCTGTGTTGTCCTTGGTGTCATCTTCAATTTGAGATGTTAAACTGAGGCCCTGTCTGCCTGTCCAGGCAATATTTGAAAAGAGAAGGGAGTTTCCCTTGGTGGACTGGCCAACAATCCTCCAAATAATAATAATAATAATAATAATCCTTGCATTTGATATAGCGCTTTTCACGTCGGGAGGACGTCCCAAAGCGCTTCACAGATAATGTTGGTCACCCACTCCATGGCTGCTTGTGGGTTATTGCTGTGCACAAATTGATGCTGCCCCGCTGATTACTCGCTCCCGGTCTCTGCGTGCGCGTTTTGGCTGCTGCCCCGACCCGAGCCACTCCCCCTTAAAGCGATCCTGATGCAGCCATCAAGCTGCTGAATGACCATCTCTCCACAACCTTCAGTTCCCTGGCTCCCCTGAATTCCAGGGTTTTTTCCAAACCCACCCACTCCCCCTGGTACAACAGTCATCTTCATTCACTCAAAACATAAACCCAGATGCTCGAGCGCAGAGGGCGGAAATCCGGCCTCACGATTCACTGCCAGCTGTGACTTGAGCACCTCTGCAGCTACTGCCTCTCCCTTTCACAGGCCAAAACTGACTTTTACTCCAAAGTCATCCTGGAGACAAACAACTACCATCCATTACCTCCTCTGTGCACCCCCTCAAGTCCCCTCTATCCTCACATCAAACATAAAGTGCGAAGAGGTCCTAGACTTCTTCACCTCAAAAATTGAAAACATCCCCTTGGCTGCATCATCCTCCCCCACCACGGCCCTTCCACCCAACCCAGACCATCCACAATGCCGTCTTGCTCCTCCATGGCTCCTGCCACTCCCCCCTCCTTACACTCCCATTTCTCCCTCTTCCCTCTCAACCACAATCACCCAGATGAAGGTCACCACCTGCTACCTCGACCCCCTCCCCACCCAGCTGCAGGTCACTCAACTCCCCCTTCTCTCTCCCTGCTGGCTGAAACAGTCAACCAGACTCTGTCCTCAGGCTCTGTTCCACTCCCTGAAAACCGCTGTCATCACACCCCTCCTCAAAAAACTCACCCTCGATCCCTTTAATCTCTCACACTACCATCCCATCTCCAACCTACCCTTCCTTGCCGAAGTCCTGGAATGCATTGTTGCAGATCAACATCGGTCACACCTCTCCCTCCACTCCCTCCTCAAGCCCCTGCAGTCTGGTTTTTGCCCTGACTGCCCACTTGTCAAAGTCAAAACAACATTCTCTCTATCTGTGACTAGGGCTCCCTCTGCCTCCTCATCCTCGTTGGTGTCTCTGCCACGTTCAATACTGTCGACCACATTATCCTCCTCCATTGGCTCTCTTCCCTCATTTACCTTTGTGGGACCGCACTCGCATTGTTCAAGTCCTGCTTAACCAACCACCTCCATTTCGTCTCAGCAAATGGTTTCTCCTCCTGCCCCACCTGGTCACTTACAGGTACCCCCAGGGCTCCATCGTTGGCCCTCTTCTTTTGCTTATCTATATGCTCCCTCTGGGCGATGTCATCCACAGACATGGGGTAAATGACCACATGTATGCGGATGACACACAAGTTTATTTTGACTCCTCCAGTACCAACTCCAGGCCGGCTGCTGTCCTATCAGCTTGTGTGGCAGACATCAAGGCCTGGATGAGTGTAAACTTCCTGCAGCTAAATATGGACAAGATGGAAACCATAATTCTTGGCTCCCATCAATGTTTTCACTCCTGTGGATCTAAACTCCTCAACCTTCCTGGGCTTTCCCTGACACTCACCGAACCAGTGCACAACCTAGGCATCCAGTTCGACCCCCAGCTGTTCTTCCTCCCCCAAATTTATTCCCTGACCAGAACTGCCTTCTTCCACTTCCGCCATCGCCCACCTCTGACGGTATCTTACCCTAAATGCAGCCAAAACCCTTGTGTATGCGTTTGTCACCTCCCACTTGGATTACTCCAACGCACTCCTCGCAGGTCTCCCCAGCTCCACCATTTGAAAGATCCAGCTCATTCAAAACTCTGCCGCCTGCATACTGACCCGGACCAAACTCTGTACCCACATCTCACCAGTTCTGGCCAGCCTCCACTGGCTCCCCATCACCAATCGGATTGACTTCAAGAGCCTCACACTCGTGTTCAAATTCATTCACTTTCTGGCACTTCTCTACCTCTTCGACCTCCTCACTCCCCAAACCATCACCCGGTGCCACCGCTCGTCCCTTGCACCCTCCGCCCCACCATCGGAGGTCGCGCTTTCAGCCACTATGCTCCAAAACTCTGGAACAGTCTCCCTCAATACCTCCACCTTGGCCCTCTTTCAAGGCCCACCTGAAAACTTTCCTCTTCGACCGTGCTTACCACCACCACCCCCAGCTCGGAGTCAGGCTCTGTCACTGTTAAGCGCTCTGAGACACCACCCTGCATGGAGGGCGTTATATGAGTGCAAGTTGTTGTTGTTTTACTGTGCACAAATTGGCTGTCACATGTGCTGCAAAGTCACTACATTTTAGTGTATACTGTGAAGTGCTTTAAGAAGATCATCGATGTGATAAGGTAATGTATGAAATGGAAGCATTATTATTATAAAATTGATCATTTACTCCATGGCTATTTGTGGGACATTGCTGTGTGCAAATTGTCTGCCAGTTCTACAAATAGTTACTACACTTGAGATGGTTTATTAGCTTTCTTTATTAAGATTTGCACTGGAGAAAGCCCTTGCTCCTCTGACACCTACTAAAACTTTACCAATCTATCCATTCCCTCCGCTGTGTTCAGTTTGCTACACCTTTAAAACTGAGATTGAAAGGAATTGGCGAAATTAGGGGCAGGTTTGAGTTCTGGGGGTTGATGGAAATTACATTGAGATGGTTTCCATCCACCCGGTTTCACACTGGAAGTGTTTTTCTTACACATTATCCTTCTTTTACCGAAAGATTCCCTGAGTTCAACCCTTCAATTCAAAATGTGTTCTGTATCTGACCTGCAAATGCTGGGTGAGACAGTGTAGAGCTTTACTCTGTATCTAATCCGTGATGTACCTTATCTGCGTGGGAAAGTGTAGAGGAAGCTTTACTCCCTATCTAACCTGTGCTGTACCGAGCCTGGCACCTGAGTGCCTACCTGTTTGTCAGCCGGGTGTCTAACACCTGGAGACTCATCATTGTGCTTTAATAATATCCAAACCAGACTGAGAGTTCCTGTATACGCTATACACCACGGACATTCCCGTGTTTGGAATGGAATGTGCACTCTCTCCCCAGAGCCACACGTTAGGTTTATCTACATCCAGAAAGTATGAAGTCAAGGCTTGGGGACCCCGGGGTGTGGGTTGGAGGTAACTGCTGGAGTTTGTTACCAGCTAAACCCTACAGTTTGCCATGGCGAGCGCCGGCAGCCGCCCTCCCACCCACTGCCTGCGCTGCTGGGCCCACCCTGAGGCTTTGGCTTTACAGGGGGAACCTTTCGCTTTCAGGGTTATCAGGGGCGGGAGTCCTGTCGGGAGAGCTTCAGGGTGAGGATCTGACCCGACCCGACCCGACCGCGCTGGAAGGTCAGTGTAGAGTGGTCCGGGCGAAAGGGTTGGGGTCGCGGGACAGGGCCAGAGGCCAGTGGTTACCATGGCAAGGCGGTGCGGGGTCAGGGGTCAGGCAGGCGGGCTGACAGGAGCTGCGGAGCACAGGCCTTGGGCTCTCGGCTGGAGCCGCGAGGACTGGAAAGCGGAACAGAGCCAACGCAGCTCCGGGGAGAGCGGGGGGAGAGGCCGGGGAGAGCGGGGGGGAGAGGCCGGGGAGAGCGGGGGGAGAGGCCGGGGAGAGCGGGGGGGAGAGGCCGGGGGGAGCGGGGGGAGAGGCCGGGGAGAGCGGGGGGGAGAGGCCGGGGAGAGCGGGGGGAGAGGCCGGGGAGAGCGGGGGGGAGAGGCCGGGGAGAGCGGGGGGGAGAGGCCGGGGAGAGCGGGGGGGAGAGGCCGGGGGGAGCGGGGGGGAGAGGCCGGGGAGAGCGGGGGGGAGAGGCCGGGGAGAGCGGGGGGAGAGGCCGGGGAGAGCGGGGGGGAGAGGCCGGGGAGAGCGGGGGGGAGAGGCCGGGGAGAGCGGGGGGAGAGGCCGGGGGGGAGAGGCCGGGGAGAGCGGGGGGGAGAGGCCGGGGGGAGCGGTAGGGAGAGGCCGGGGGGAGAGCGGGGGGAGAGGCCGGGGAGAGCGAGCGGGCGGCGGGGCCATGGGTTGGGGCCCCCGCGGGGGAGAGAGGCAGCGGGGAGCCCAGTGAGCGCGGCGCGGCCAAGGGGCTGACGGCATGTGGGAGGCCAACGCGGCCGGTATCGGGCCCGGCGGCGGCGGCAGGAGCGAGGAGATCGCGGAGCTGATCGAGCACTGCTCCAAACACCAGTACCGCGCCAAGGAGGTCAGCAGCCAGGTGAGACCACCCGGCCCCGGCCCCACCCCGGCCCGGCCCCACCCCGGCCCCGCCCGGGGGAGACAGGAAGCCTGGAGGGTCCCACAAACAGCCTTGGGGTCCGGTAACCGGCCTCTGTGTCCCCAGCAGGAAGCGGGAGCTGGTTGTCAGTGGATTGGTAGATCGCTTTTCCAGGTGTAGTGATTCCCTCCAAAAAAATAAAAATAATTTGGTCACAGTCAATCCGCGGCTGTTTGTGGGACGCTGCTGTGGGCAATTGGCTGCCGCGTTGTGCCCACAAATAGACAGTCAATTCACTGTACAGTCTATTCTGTGAAACTCTTAGAGTCACCTTGAAGATGTGGTAAGCGCTGTATCAAATGCAACCATTTACCCCCCCCACCCCCACCCCACCTGTGAATCGAACACAGGTCCTCTCGCCTGCGAAGCGAGAGCTCTAACCCATTTGCTAGAGAACTCCACGTTAAGGTTCTGCGATTTGTGCACTCAGGAACTCACACCTATGACTTTCTAGGAATATCTCAATTGAATCCTGACCAGTTGAGTTGAGAGTTTATTCAAGTTTTCATACACTTACTAATATCAGCACATGAATCATTTGACCTTTTGAGCTTGCTTGTTGGTTTAGTAAATGACAGTAGTGGCAGGTCCTTTAATCTCAATATCCTGTCTTTTCTCCATATCTTACTTTTCAAATATCTGTGTAGCTCGGATGTAGATACTGTGTTAAATCAGAGTTTAGGTAATTAAGAAAGTTGTAAGTTTTTGGGGTTGCTGTTGCACTTAGATACCTTACACTGTGAAGGTGTAGGGTTGCCTTGTGTGCCTGTCGGCAACCTGTATGAGGATTGGAATCTCTTGTTTTATAATATCTTTCTTTTGGTCAGCCAGGTGTCTGATCAGAGTTAAATAATAATAAGCCTTGCATTTGATATAATTCCTTATCACATTGTCGAGACCATGACGCTGCTGCAGTTTACCCACAAAATACACAATCAATCCACTTTACAGTATATTGTAAATTGCCAAATGCACACAGCAGTGTCGCACAAACATTTGTAGATTAAGTTATCAAATTTTTAATGTATATTTTGGAGGGATTATTACCCCCGGAAAGCAATCTGCCAGTTGACTAACTGGATTCATATGTATTGCTAGATAAACAGGCGAGTGCCCAAGTTTTTGCCCTGCCTAGGAATCGAACCCAGGTCCTCAAGCTTGTGAGTTGAGCACGCTAACCACTACGCTACGGGACTCCTTGAGTTCCAAACATTTCACCCGCATATGAGATTTTCCGTGTCTGGAATGGAATGAGCACTCTCCCCGGAGGGATGCCCCCTGCTTGCCCAATTTCAACAACAACAATTTACATCTATACAGCACCCTTCAGGCACGATAGGTCTCAGAGCGCTGCAGAGTGATGGGGTTAGACACTTGAGTAAGAGGGAGGGTGGAGTAAGCGTAGGTCGAAGAGGTGAGTCTTAAGAGGGGATTTAAAGATCGATAAAGAGGTGATGAGGCGGAGGGATTGAAGTAGGGAGTAGTGGCTGAAGGCACAGCCACCAATTATGGAGCAGAGTGTGGGCAGAGGAGTAGGGTATATGCAGATCAGAGAAGTAAACAGGTGCTAGAGTGTGAAGAGAGTTGGACATCAAGGTGAGTATTTTGAAGAGTATTTTTGCAGGTTGACAAGAGGCAATGCATGGCTTATAAATGTATAAGCTTTCAATGGCAAGCTATTTTAGCTGATTAAACTCCAGCAGTTATCTAACGCACATTCAGAGTTGACCAAACATTGGCTCTTGTTAACCTGTGCTTAATACTCTCCAGAATTATGTATGCAGTATGCGTCCTTCCTGGGAGAGAGTGCGCATTCCATTCCAGAAATGGAAATTTCCAATTGTGGATGGCATACAAGGAACTGACTCTGGTTTGGATACTTTTAATCAGTTCCATGTGTCAGTCCCTGGTTGACTAAAAATCAAATCCACTGCAAGGATTATTTTTAGGATGATCATTATTGTGGAGTAGCAAGGTACAAGTGTCACACTGTCAAAGCTCCACACACTTAAGTGACTTGACTTCAGTTGGGTTTTGTTCCTTATGACGTGAGTTAGCAATAAGAAATAAGTTTGCCAATTGAGAGTGTGCAGCACAGGAACCCTGTGTTCTATCTTTCTGAGGTTATGTCCTCTTACCATTTAGCTCCAAATATAGGATTGTGGCTACAGTCTGATTGTATCACAGTTTCATTTCAGAAAGGGGAAGTTTGGGCAGCTGGGTTGTCATTCATTTAAGTTGGTTTGATTTTTTTTGCAACGAAAGTCCAGAGGCTAGAAATCCGAAACATCAGAAAAGTTGGAAACCCTGAATTATCAGGGTGACCTGAAAGACGTCATCAAAATTATAAAGAGCTTTGATAGGGCATTGAGTCAGTGACTTGATGGTACAAACTTAATGTAATCACAAAAATAATTAAACAGGTGCAGTGCCAGAGTTCATCACCGCCATCAACTTGCATTTATATAGTGGCCTTCACATGGGGTGGCAGCTCGGAGCCCTGAGTCAAATGTCTTTGAAATGGGAATTGATTAAATGCTTTAAAGGATTATTAAAGGATATGGAGAGGAAAAACACCATTGCAGACTTAGTTGTAGGACAGGCATGTTTCATTGTTGTAACATTACAGGATTGAAAGAGCAAGATTGTCTGGAGCTACGAGATAGCTACACGACACACAGCATCCTACAGTCAATAACTGCTCTGGTTTTCTGGCATTTCTGATATTGTGTTACTGTTTAGTTGCTCTTTGCAACCTGCCTTCTACTTTCACCCCGGATAGGAGGTCCACACTCCCAGTTTACCTGAAACTGTTACTTCCAATCCCTTGTCTTCTGTAAGTTGTGTGGAGCCCTCTCCAACCATACACTAGCTACTTTTAACGGTCTGGCTCGGTTGATAGCACTCTCATCTCTGAGAATATTTGTCTTTGCAAACAGGGTGTTAGGATGTGAAATGTTGTATGGACCAATCAATCAGGAACCAGAATCCAAATTATCTTTTAAGAGGGAATTAAATAACATAACATGTAGGAGCAGGCGTAGGCCATTCGGCCCTTCGACCCTGCCCTGCCATTCAATCATGGCTGATCTTCTAATCTAACTCCAGCTAATAACCTAACCCTGCCTTATCCCCATATTTCTTAATCCCTTTAGCAATAAGAAATCTATCTATCTCAGTCTTGAATATGTTCAAGGACTGAGCGTCAACAGCCCTTTGAGGTAGTGAGTTCCATACATTCACCACTCTTTGAGTGAAGAAGTTCTTCCTCAACTCAGTGTGAAAGGGTTGACCTCTGATTTTAAGGTTGTGACCCCTGGTTTTAGTTTCTCCAACCAGGGGAGACAATCTCCCACTATCTACTCTATCATGCCCCGCTACTTTTAATGATTCGCTTACTTGAACACCCAGATCTCTCTGTACGTTCACCCCCCCTTAAGATTGAGCTACCAAGTCTATATTGCCTCCTATCATTTTTCCTACCTAAGTGTATCACCTCACACTTATCCACATTGAAATCCATCTGCCACATGACAGCCCATTCCACCATTCTGCGTATGTCTGCTTGCAGTTGGTTACAGTCCTCCTCGCTATTTACTACTCTACCTAACTTTGTATCATTGCAAACTTGTAAATAGTGCTCTTTATGCCCAAGTCCAGATCATTAATATATATTAGAAAGAGCAGTGGTCCCAATACCGATCCCTGGGGGACACTGCTGCACACCTCCTTCCATTTCGAGAAACACCCATTAACCACCACCCTCTGCTTTCTGTCACTCAGCCAGTTCTTAATCCAAACTGCCACTGTCCCCTTAATACCGTAGGCCTCTAATTTTTTTATTAATCTCTTATGCGGTTTTGTGTCAAAAGCCTTTTTGAAATCCATGTAAGTAATGTCCATCGCATTTCCCTCATCAACCCTCGCAGTCACCTCTTCAAAAAATTCTATTAGATTTGTTAGGCAAGATTTGCCTTTAACAAATCCATGTTGGCTGTCTCTAATTACCTCGTGTTCCTCTAAGTAGAGATTTATTCTGTCCCGGATTATGGTCTCCAGTAGTTTTCCTATTACCGAAGTTAGGCTGACTGGCCTGTAATTTCCGGGTTTGTCTTTCTGCCCCTTTTTGTAGAGGGGGGTAACATTAGCCACTCTCCAATCTCTTGGCACCACTCCTGTGTCCAATGAAGATTGAAATATAATGGCCAAAGCCTCCGCTATTTGAACCCGTATTTCCCACAGCACCTTGGGTGAAACCCATCTGGTTCTGGTGACTTATCAATTTTGAGCCCAGTCAATCTTTTCAGAATTTTCATCCGCGAATTTAGATATATTAACTTCAATGTCCTCATCTAGATCGTTGATGTAGATGGTAAATAGCTGAGGCCCAAGGACTGATCCTTGTAGCATTCCACTAGTCACATCCCGCCAATCTGAAAAGGACCCGTTTATCCCTACTCTTTGTTTCCTACCTGTTAACCATTCCCCAATCCACGTTAATATACTCCCCCCTATTCCCTGGGCCATTATCTTCTGGACTAACCTTTTATGTGGCACCTTATCGAATGCTTTCTGGAAGTCCAAATAGACCACATCCGCTGATTCACCCTTATCCAGTTTACTCGAAATATCCTCAAAAAATTCTATGAGATTTGTCAAACATGACTTCCCTTTTGTAAAGCCATGTTGACTTGGCCTAATTATATTGTGCTCCCCAAAATACCGCACTACCACATCCTTAATCAATGATTCTAAAATGTTTCCTATCACTGATGTGAGACTAACTGGCCTATAGTTCCCCATCTTTTCCTTTCCACCTTTTTTAAATAGTGGTGTGACATTTGCGATCTTCCAATCCATGGGAACTGTTCCAGAATCCAAGGAATTTTGGAAGATCAGACACAAGGCCTCCACTATCTCATAAGCTACCTCTTTTAAAACCCTGGGATGCAAGCCATCCGGACCAGGGGATTTGTCACTTTTTAGTGCTAACAGTTTCCCGAGCACCAAATCTCCATTAATGAAAATTTCCCTAAGTTGCTCCCTGTCCTTATCCCCTTGGTGCATCTCTATTGATGTCAGACTTGTTGTGTCTTCTAGGGTGAAGACAGATGCAAAGTACCCATTTAGGAACTCTGCCATGTCCTTATCCCCCATTACAACTTCTCCCGTCTCTGACTGAAGTGGACCTACATTTACCCTCACTAGCCTATTCCTCTTAATATATTTGTAAAAACTTTTACAATCTGACTTAATGTTCCTGGCTAGCTTACCCTCATACTCCTTTTTCTCGCTCTTAATGAGTTTTTTAGTTTTATTTTGCTGGTTTCTAAAACTCTCCCAATCTTCAGATTTGCTGCTTTTCTTCGCAGTTTTATAAGGCTTTTCTTTTAATTTGATGCTTTCCCTAACTGCTCTAGTTAGCCATGAATGACTTGCTTTCCCTGTGGTACTCTTATTCCGCAAGGAAATATGCGACCGCTGAGAATTATGTACTACATCCTTAAATATTTGCCACTGTTGGTCTACATTTTTACCTCTTAATCTTATTCTCCAGTCTACTTTACCTAAATCTTTCCTCATACCTACAAGATTAGCCGTATTTAAATTCAGAATACTTGCCTCGGATTTAACTGTATCCCCCTCTAACTTAATGCAGAATTCAATCATATTGTGATCACTCTGCCCTGGAGGAGTCTTATACACTGCCAACTAGCCCTGTTTCGTTACACAAAACGATGTCTAGGATGGCCTGTCCCTAGTTGGTTCATCGGCATGCTGCTCTAGAAAGTTAACTCTCATACACATCTGAAAAGGAGAAATATGAAAGGGGGTTTGTGTGGGGAAAGGAAGGAGATTGGAACAAAATGGATAACTCTTTCAGAGAACCAGCCAGGCACTGTGGTGTGAATTTCTTTGGTTTAATCTATTAAAATCTCAACAGTGACTTCTCTATGTTGTGTCAATCGAAAGCAGGATTTTTGTATTCTGTGTTTTTAGTACTATCACAAGATCGTGGGGTTTGTGCTGACAGCGCTATGACACATTTTGTGTTATTGACATAGATTCGATGTGTGACTGTCATTAGCTTTTTAACTTGAGATTGTGGCATCTTGCCACATTGGCGTGTCTCTTGTGAGTTAAGAGAAGTTGTATTTTTATAGTGCCTTTTCATGTCCAAACATTTCAAGAGTGCTTTACAAAACATACACTGCACTTTACAGTAGGTTTTTATAGAGAAATCATTTGTGCAGAGCAAAGTTCCGCAAACAGCCTTGAGGTGAATGACCAATTAATCAGGAGGATTGTTGACTATGACAACAGAAGACCATAATGGTATCATGGGATCTTTAAGTCACGCCTACAAATATCCGCTTTATGCTGCACTGCTTGAGGCCTCTAAAGTGAGAGCACTATATCTGGGGGTTGAGCAGCTCCATCAGAAATCAAATTGCACCTTAAACTGAGTTGACGTTTAGGTGATTTTTGGCAGGACAGCAGCTCACACTATTTCAGGCGTCTGAAATTAAACAGTTGGGAATGAGGAGTACAAATGCTGTTTCTCCTCAAATCACTTTCGCTGCAAGTGATGTGCCTCCCTTCCCAACAATGTATAATGCATGTCAGTGAGTTCCCCGTATATGTTTGGGCAACTCTGAACTAGCAGTTCTATGTTGGGACAAAGTGTGCAAGTCACTGAGGAATTGATCACTGAGGTAAAGAGAAAAACTGGGGCAGACGACTTCAGTTTAAACATGTTCAGCTGATGGAAACTAGATAGAAGTTAAAGTCTTATAGAGTAATATCAAAGCACAAGAATGAAAGTGCCTTATTATAATAACCCTTGCATTTGATACAGCACCTTCTGTTTTCAAGGGGATCTTTAACATCCACCTGAACAGGGAGATAGAGCTTTAGTTTAACATCTTCTCCAAAGCATGGCACCTCGGACAATGCAACACCCCCTCAGCATTGCACTGGAATGTCAACCTCTCTGAATTCTAAGTCACGATGTCAGGAGTAAACCCGCAAGCTTATGACTTGGAGGCGAGAGTGCTACCAGCTAGCACACACAATGTTGAGATTTTGAACATCTTAAAACATTTCAGTTATTACTGAAAGCGTTTTCGTAGACAAACATGGTAGCCATGTGTGCCAGCAGGATCCAACAAAAAGCCATGTGGATAGCTACAGGATATTCCGATAGGAAAAGTACTACATTAGAGTGTCATCCTGGACTGTGAACTTGAATCTTAACATGGAGCTTGAACCCAAATCCCGGAGTGTATTCAACTCTAAACATGCTGATATCTACTTGTAAGTGAGGACTTGTAGATTACTTGTACTTTAAGGGGAATGTGGAGCCCATGTGCTGTATAAATTAAAATTGCTGTTGTATTGTGTTGAGGGTAGGTCTGTCTGCTTTGATAGCCTCCCGCTGGGCAAACTGTGGTGCTGATAATTGTTTTTCCGTGTACAGGTAGACAAGATTCAGAGTCACTGTTTAGACTTGTTCAAGAGGGACTACGTTTACAGTCTCATCCAGAACCCAAATGGAGAGGTGTGCGGCCACTACCCACGGCAGATTGTTTTTATGGAGTATGCAAGTACGGAGAGTGACAAGGAGAGGTAACCTAATTTAATTAACACCAGTGTCTAGTAACTAGAGCATGTTCAGGCTTTGGCTCTTTTGTGTTTTATTTGTGTTTACCAGAGATTTTGCATGTTTGTAGAATAATCACAATGTTCCAGCCTACCTCTGCGATCCTGTCCAGCTCTGTTCTCCTTCCAATACCATCCAGTGCTTTGACTCGCTGTTCCTCCCTCCTTCAAACCCATCATGAGTTATATGGAAGATATATGGAAGATATATGTATATATATATATACATGTATATAATAAATACAAGTTGTTGTTGTCGCGCACTTCTTTCTTCACTCACTGACTTTTCCACACAGTGCTCTGCAGATTTGAGCTAAGAATTTTTTTTCCTCCTGGTGAAGGTTTGAAAGCACTGTTCAGACCAGTAAACTGCAGGAGCTGGTGACCCGCAGCAAGATGGCACGGTGCCGGGGACGCTTTGTTTGCCCCGTAATTTTATACAATGGCAAGGTAATAATAATTAATAAATAATAATTAATAATAATCCTTTTATCATTGGGAGGACGCCCCAAAGCGCTTCGCAGGATGTAATTTAGTGACTGTATTTTGTGGGAGAATGTAACAGTCAATTTGCGCAGCCAATGTTGCTCAAACAGCTATGAGTAAATGATCAATTTTATCTTGGAGATTGTTGCTCAGGACACCAGGAGAAACTTCCTTCTCTTTTTGAATAGCGCCATGGGATCTTTAACGTTCACCTGACAGGCAGAAAATTTGACATCTCATCCAAAGGATGATGTCTCCGATAATGCAGCACTCTCCCAGCACTGCTTTGGAGTGTCAGGCTCAAGTCTGTGTGAGTTCCAAGGCCTGATATGTCCCCTGTCTTCCTGTCCCTCTAATAATTACAGAACAATAAATAAACAAATCTTTATATTTGGAGAGTGTGTGGCTGTTAGAGTGCCTTCTATGTTTGGAATTCTCAAAGTGTTTCACAGGATTTTACTGTTAAGTGTAGTGACTGTGTACTTTGTAGACAAACGCAGCAGCCAATATGCACACAACGATGACCTGTAAACAGCCATGAAGTATGAATGCCTGATGGGATCTTTAATATTCACTTGAACAAGCAGGTGGAATATTAGTTTAATGTCTCGCATGAAGGATAGCACCTCCAATAATGCAGTGCTCACCCAGCAACTTGTTGGAGTGTTGGTTTAGACTAGTGGTGGCCAACCTTTTTTGGCTGGATAACAAAATAAATGTTCTTGTTTGATTATTTCTTGATTTATGACATCACATGAATCAAGAAATATTCAAGAAAGAAAAAACTGTGAACACACTACCGGACTTGCCTAGACTTGTGCAAGTATTCGGTGGGGATACTTCTTGACCGTCCAGTGAACACTTCTGGCCCCTCAAGCCATAGGTTGGCCACCACTGGCCTAGACAGTGAGTTCAAGGTTCTGCCTGGACTTCTGATACTGAGGTAGAGGACCGACTGAGCCAACCTCAGAGCAACTTTTTAACCTAAATAAGTTTAAAAAGCTATGTTTTATTACCTCAGTTTTGAAAAGTTGCTTGAATCAAAGTTAATTGTAAAAATGCAGGGTTGCACGTGTGAGATTAATTTCTTGCTTCCTCTCTTGCTGCTCCAGCACATTTGTAGGTCAGCAACTCTGGCTGGGTGGGGGGAGCTGTACGGACGTAGTGGATACAACTACCTCTTTTCGGGTGAGTCATAGCTTCTATGTACATTTCTGTTGGAGAGCAAATGTTTCAATTTGTTTGCCATTGAGACTCGTTAATATGCTGTTTTGTGCAATTGACCTGTGTCTATCGGGAAATAGGTTGCGACTGCACCTATATCTAGTCCAGATATAGGGCTTGAACCTCCAACCTTTTGCCTGTGAGCTAACTGAGCCACGCTGACGTAGTCTTGAGGAGGTCACCCCGGGGATTTCCCCTCCCAGTTGAAGAAAGATAATGGGAGAATAGTGAATGTTGCCCATTAGAGGTCTCAAACAAGACTTGGTAACAATGTGCTCCAGAAAACAAATTAGCGCAGGAAATGAACTTTACAGTGTGGCTGTTTTTTGAGATTCAGTTTGTAACATAAGATTGGAATGTGGAAAGCTGTTTGTCCCATCAAATTTGAATCCATCATGGACTCCTCTTCCAGACACTCCCCAGGTCTCCAGCATATACAATCATCCAGAACATCTCTACCCCAATAACTCCTTGGCACAAAGTGGCCGGGGCAAGTACAGGAAACTTCTAATAACACGACCCTTAACTTGTCACTACCACTTAAGTCATCATACTGTCAATATCCTGCCTGCATTTATTTGTGTTTATACATATGCCTGACTCGCCACCCTCAGTAACTCGTCACTGAGCGCCTTTTCCCTTGGATTGATGAGTTATCATGAGTTTACTATACTTGCTGAAATCAGTTCTTATCTACATAGCTACGGCGAGAGGCTTTGGATTCTCAATTGGACTAAAATTTGAGCTAATTATATAAGGTTCATGTTCTTTGCATTGGATAAGTACTTTATCTTGCACCTTTGATCTGGGGAAGCTTAATGCAATCCCTATTCAGAGGAGGGAAATCGAAAGCTCCTGCCTTTATCTCATACACAGACAAAACCTACTGAGGTGTACATCTTTTTCTTCTTTCTGATTTCTTTTGGTCAGGAGGATCTGAGGAGACAGGCGCGGAGCTGGATGAAGTGCCTGATGATTACGCAGTGCGGTAAGGACAGTGCGTTTATTTCCTCAGTCATTCAGAAAAGAGAGAACTTGAATTTTTACAGCACCTATAATGCTGAAATGTCACAAAGAACTGCACAGTAATTCTATAGGCAAACGCCCAGAGTGCAAGCATCCATTAATCTATGTGGAGACTTGTTGGACAGAATTCAGGAGACACTCCCTTCTCTTTTTAAATTTTAATTGTGGAATTTTTAATGTTGAGCTGGCAGACAGGACCTTGGTTTAATAATAATATAATAATAATCTTGCATTTGATATAGCGCCTTATCAGTCTTCGATACATCTTGACTGAAGTGACCAATTTTTTTTTAAGGAATTAGCCCCGGAGAAGTGACCTGCCAATCAACCAATAACTGGGTTCCTACTTACTGCTAGGCAATCAGAGGCGTGTGGAATAAGGAAACTTGCCCAACATTTTGCCCTGCCAGGAATCAAACCCAGGTCTCACTTGCGAGGCGAGTGCTCTAACCACTGAGCTACGGGACTCCATAATGACATTGACAATGAAAGGATGTTTGCTTCTTGAGAATATCTCTTGTGGAGTCCTATAGCTCAGTGGTTAGAGCACTCGCTTTGCAAGCGAGAGACCTGAGTTCAATTCCAGGCAGGGCGAAACCTTGGGCAAGTTTCCTTACTCCACACGCCTAATAATAATCGCTCCAAAAAACAACAAAAAAATAATAAATTGGTCATTTTCAATCTACGATTATTTGTGGGACATTGCTGTGCGCAATTGGCTGCCATGTTCACCCACAAATATACAGTCAATTCACTTTAGAGTATATGCTGTGAAGCGCGCTTTGGGACGTCTAGAAGACGTGAAAAACGCTAATCAAATGCAAGGATTATTATTATTATTATCTCGAGAGTACTTGACTTAACAGCTAATGACAGCAAGGTCATTTTTTGAAGGGAATTTCACCAATATACTATACTAATATGTAGTGCATATTTTATGTAGAAATGTAATTCAAGTTTCAAAAAGTAATTCTATGGCTGTTGGTGTACAAAAACTGGCTGCCGAGTTTCACGCACAAAATACACAGTGAATCCACTTTACAATGTTGTGAAGCGCTTTGAGACATATAGACGACATGATAAGGCGACTTTATTGACGACTTTATCAAATGCAAGGATTATTATGAACAAATTTTCAGTCAACAAAACGTTCGATGATTAAATTAATGCGAGCTTCAATGTGTCATTGACTGTGTCAATGACTGTTTGTAGGACACTGCTGTGTGCAATTGGCTGCTGCATTTCGCTCACAATATACAGTGAATTCACTTTACAGTGTATTTTGTGAAGTCCTTTGAGAAGTCTGGAAGACATGATCAGGCACTATATCAAATGCAGGGATTATTATTATTATGTGCTATCAATACCAAACTGTGCCTTCAGCTCCCCTCTCGACTCTCTATCCCCTCCTCGCTCCTTCCCTCCCCTCACCCTGACCATTTCCCCCCTGCTCGGGTCCCGACCCAACTGTCCAGCGCCTTGGGACGTCCTCCCGACGTGAAAAGGCGCTCTATACATGCAATCTTGTTGTTGTAGTAGTAAGCAGTTACCTCAAAGCACACTCTGGGGTTCCCAAACCTTATCTCTTGCCAGATTAATAATAATAATCCTTGCATTTGATATAGCGCTTTTCACGTCGGGAGGACGTCCCAAAGCGCTTCACAGAACACACTGTAAAGTGAATTGACTGTATATTTGTGGGTGAACGTGGCAGCCAATTGCGCACAGCAATGTCCCACAAACAGTCGTAGATTGAAAATGACCAATTTATTATTGTTTTTGGTTTTGGAGGGATTATTATTAGACGTGTGGAGTAAGGAAACTTGCCCAAGGTTTCGCCCTCTGCCTGGAATTGAACTCAGGTCTCTCACTTGCAAAGCGAGTGCTCTAACCACTGAGCTACAGGACTCCACAATTGCACCTAATACTCTGTACTCTGGAATTGGGTGAGCAGGATGTGTCCCTCCAGGGAGAGAATGTGTAATCCATTCTATGTGTAGGTGCCATAAATAGAACCCTGTCTGGTTTGGTACTCAAGCTTTAGTGATGGATTTGAGCATATGTCAGATAGACTGACCTAAAAAAGTTGCTAGGATCTTCAATGCACACAACCAGTGCGATGTAATTTCACTGTCAGATCTCAAATCAAATGGAACTGATTCTAACGCTGTAATCTTGGTCTGAAGTTTCTCGTAGTTAGTGCTAATTTGTACCCCGCTAACCCACTCCCCCAGGTATCTATTCTCCTTTAACAGTGTAAACCACACTGGGAGCTTTACAACAGAGCACAGGGTATCAACAACAATAAATTACGTTTGCATAGCGCCTTTCACATCAGACGGACGTCATGTGAAAAATACATCGTGGGTAGGAATTGTACACTTTGTTGGTTCAGAATACTTGTCCCTTCACCCTTACCCTATATCAACATAATATAACAGTACCACAGTCTGGTATTCTGATCAGATATACAGAACCTGGCTCTACCCCAATGGTCAGAAGCAAAGGTCCAATTGCTGATATAGATACAGTATCTTCATTCTACAAGAGAGTTTTCTACAAGAGTGATCTATTATAGGTCACAGAGCATATATTATTTCCTGCCTTGGGTTTTGTGTGCATCTTTTTAAAAAAATTTTGTTCTTTGCACTTATCAACCGCTCTCCCTCGCTTGCTGTTCGGTCTCACTATTTGAGGCGCTATCTTGCGTGAAGAGTACTATAATAATAATAATAATCCTTGCATTTGATATACTGCCTAATGTCTTCGAGATGTCTCAAAGCGATTCACAGAATACACTGTAAAGTGAATTGACTGTATATTTTGTGGGTGATACACAAGTTTTGCTGATGTATTGTTGAGAAATTTTGCTGCACGAGAATAATGTGCTTTAAAGACTCAGTGTTTAACATAGAACCATAGAAATTTTTGGTATAGAAGAAGGCCGTTCGGCCATTGTGTCAGTCTGAGCTCCCTCAAGCCCCATTTCTCTGCACCATAGCCCTGTAGCTGATTCTTTTTAAGGTATTTATCTAGTTCCCCCTTGAGGGCCAATATGGATTCTGTTTAACCACCGCTCCAGGCAGGGCATTCCATATTCTAACTATGTGTGTGAAAATATTTTTCCTAACCTCCCCATTTTCTCATTTACTAACTATCTTAAATTAATTGGCTCTCGTTGCTGACTCACCGACCAGTGGAAATAATCTTTCCCTATCTGACTCTATTAAAACCCTACATAATTGTAAGTGCCTCTATTAGGTCACGTCTCGTGTGGTGTTCCTCAGGGCTCTGTCCTTGGTCCTCTCCTGTTCAGTATCGACATGCTGTTTCTTGGTAACATCATCCCCAGACATGGGGTCAACTTCCACATGTATGTAGATGACTATCTCTCTGCCTCCACCCTCGTCTCCAGGACCACTGCTGTCCTGACGGAATGTCTGTCAGACATCGCTTAGAGGATAGAGTTCAAAATCCTCATCCTCGCATTCAAAGCCATCCATGGCCTTGCTCCTTCCTATCTCTGTGACCTGCTAACGCCATATCAACCTCTCCGCTCTCTTCGCTCAGCCTACTCCACGTTTCCGGCCCAGCCCACCTCCACCGTTGGCGGTCAGGTCTTCAGCCTCTTTGCCCCCACCCTTTGAAACTCCATCTCATTGTCCCTTCACATTGCTCCCTCTCTTGCCTCCTTCAAGGTACGTCTCAAAAACCTCTTCTTCGACAGCGTCTTCAGTCACCCACCTATCCTTGCCCTCCAGCCAGCCTGATCCCAACCCCCTGCTCGGGTCCAAATCCCAATCTGAAAATCCCTCAAGAAAAAATAAACAATAGTAAATTGGTGCCTTCAATCCATGACTGTTTGTGGGACACTGCTGAGTGCAACTGGCTGCCGCGTTTCGCCCACAAAATACTGTCAATTCACTTTACATTATATTCCATCTAGAAGACGTGAAAAGAGCTATATCAAATGCAAGGAATATTATACTGTCCAGCACCTTGGGATGTCCTGACGTGAAAGGCACTATACAAATGTAATTTGTTGTTGTTGTTATCACCCCTCAACCTTCCTTGTTCCAGGGGAAAAAGTCTCAGTTCCTCCAGTCTCATAACCACTCGGTGTCATCCTAGTAAATCTCCTCTGCAGCCCCTCTATCCCCTTCATGTCTTTCCCAAAGTGGGGTAACTGCGGTCTAACTAACAACTTGTACAAATGTGGCATTACCTCTTTGCTTTTCTATTCTACTATACCCCTATTCATAAAACCTAAGATTCTATTAGTTTTTTGGACAGCTTTGTCCACCTGCCTTCCCACCTTTGAGGATTATGTACATTAACCTCCAAGTTCCTTTGCTCTTCCATACTTGCTCTCCTTATTCTTCCTCCCAAAATGATAACCTGCAATAAAACTTAATTTGTCGTATCTCTGCCCAATCAACTAATCCATCGACAACCCACTGAAATTGTTTATATTCTTCTTGAATTTTTGCTACTCTATTTTCATACCATAAGTTGGTTAAGTTCATCAGCCACTTCAGATCAGGTATGGCACTGTCCCAAGAATTTGAAGATGTATTTTAATCCGAGAAAACGACTTTCCCATAATTTACATTCTCCGTTACACTAGCCACTCGCATGGGCCGATGTGCTATTGATGCAAGGAACCAAACTCAATTGAAGCTAGCCTAAGTGTGCCTAAAACCATTGAATTAACAGAGATGAGTCTTTACCCTGTCAGTCAAACCCAGATTCGAGCATACATTCTGGAGCTGACAGCAGCATAATAAAAATAATAATAGTAATAAGCCTTGCAGTTGATTTAGCGCCTTATCACATCGTTGAGGCGTCTCAAAGTGCTTCCCAAAATATATTGTAAAATGGATTGACTGTGTATTTCATGGGTGAAATACAGTAGCCAATTGAGTGCAGCAGTGTCCCACAAACAGTTGTGGATTGAGTGACCAAATTCTTTTTAGGAGAGGAATTATTAACCCCCGGAAAGTGATCCGCCAGTTAACTACAACCAGGTTCCTATTTAACGCTATGTAAACAACAACAACAACAAAGTTACATTTGTATAGCGCCTTTCACGTCGGGAGGATGTCCCAAAGTCTTGGACAGTCAGTGTTTCGGACCCGAGCTGGGGGTCAGGATTGCGGAGGCTGGAGGGCAGAGGGGGAAGCAGGGTGATCGAAAGCACGGTCGAAGAGGAGGATCTTGAGATGGGTCTTGAAGGAGGCAAGGGAAGGGGTGAGGCGGAGGGACTGCGGGATGGAGTTCCAGAGGGTGGGGGCAGAGTGGTAGAAGGCCCCCCAATGGTGCGGTGGGCAAGGAGAGGTACGTGAAGCAGGCCGGAGATCGCTGAGCGGAGGGAGTGGGCAGGATGGTAGGGGGTTAGGAGGTCGCAGAGGTAGAGAGGAGCAAGGCCTTGGAGGGCTTTGAAGGTGAGGACCAGGATCTTGAACTGTATCCTCTGAGTGATGGGAAGCCAATGGAATCGGGCGAGGATGGGGGTGATAGGTGTGGCTGAGGACACAGGTTGCAGAGTTCTGGATGATCTGCAGCCTGTGGAGGGATTTGTTGTGGAGGCCGACAAAGCAGTGAGTTTGGTCAAGCCTCGATGTTATGAATGTGTTATGAGGGTTTCGGCGGCCAGCAGAGTGGCGGAGCCGGGCGATGTTGCTGAAGTGGGGGAAGGCAGAGCGGGTCATGATATGGATGTGGGGTAGAAAGGATAGTTGAGGGTCAAAAAAATGCCAAGGTTCCGGACTGGCTTAGTAAGGTGCAGTGTGTATCCATGGACGGTGATGCTGGCAGCCCCTGAGGTGTGGAGACGCTGACGGGAACCAATCTTGATCTTGTTGACGCTCTACTGAAGAAAGTTAGCTCTCATCCAGGAGTTTATGTCTGGCAGACATTCTGTCAGGACAGTAGTGGTTCTGGAGTCAAGGGTGGAAGCAGAGAGGTAGAGTTGGATGCCATCCGCATACATGTGGAATTTGACCCCATGTCTGCGGATGATGTCATCAAGAGGGAGCATATAGATATTGAAGAGGAGGGGACCAAGAACAGAGCCCTGAGGAATGCCGCATGAGACATTGTGGGGCTAGAGGAGAAACCGTTTGTGGAGATGAAGTGAAGGTGGTGTGAGTGGTACGATCTGAACCATTCAAGATCAGAACCGTTGAGTGGAGAAACGGTGGATGAGGATAGAGTGGTCAACGATGTCGAATGCAGCAGAGGTCAAGGAGGACGAGGAGGCAGAGGGAGCCCTGGTTGCAGATGGACAGAATGTAATTTTTCAGTTTGATGAGGGCTGTTTCTGTGCTGTGGGCGGCATGAAACCCGATTGGAGGGGTTCGTGAAGGGAATAGCGGGAGAGGAAGGAGCGAAGCTGGGAAGCAACGATTCGTTCCAGGACCTTGGAGAGGAAAGGGAGGTTGGAGATTGGGCGGTATTTGAAAGCCGGAATCGGTCCAGGGAGAATTTTTTAAGGATAGGAGTCATGATGGCTATTTTTAAAGGGGTGGGAATGGTACCAGTGGACAGGGAGAGGTTTATAATGTCTGAGTAGAGGGGCAAGGAGGTGGCACTGGGAGGTAAGTAGAGGGGTAGGGATGGAGTCAAGAGAGCATACGGTCGGTTTCCTTGCAGTTATAATGGTGATAAAGAGGAGTGGGAAACAGGTTCGAAGGTGTGGCGGGAGGGATGGGTAGGGGCTGGGGTTTGAGCGGGAGCTGGGGAGGGTGTAGTAGATGGAATGGCAGAGACAGCTGAGTGGATCCCCTCGACTTTGGATTCGAGGAAGTCCAGCATCGCCTCGCAGTTGGAGTTGGAGGAGAGGATGGGCTAGGCGTGAGAGGATGGGCGGAGGAGCCGGTTGGTGATGGAGTAAAGGAGCCTGGGGTTGTCCTTGGCCTCCAAGATTGTCTTGGAGTAGAACAACGATTTAGTGGAGGCGAGGTTGGAGTGGTAAGATTTGCTAAGGTCCTGCCAGATCTGCCGATGGACCGTTAAGTTTGATTTAAGCCAAGTGGGTTCAGCGGCATGCACCTGTGCTTTAAGGGAGCGGAGGTGGCTGGTGTACTATGATTACTTTCATGTGTAGGAGACAGTTCGGGAAGTGAGGGGGGCAAGGGAATTGAGAGTGGGAATAGAGGGAGTTGTGGAGAAGAGTGACCGAGTTCGGCGGAGTAACTTACCTAAGATTTAGCGCTGCCCAGGAATCAAACCCGGGTCCTCTCGTTTGTGAGGCGAGTGCACTAACTGCCACAGTACGGGACTCCACAACATGCTCACTATCTGAGGTGGTCCCTTTACCAATAATACACCAAGGTGCAATTGTGATTCTGTGATCTCTCTCTCCCTTTTCCCGAATTGCTGATGAAGCATTCTTAGTTTTAGGAAACTTGTGAACTTTCAGTGTGTGTGACTGTTTGAAGGTGGACTTGATTGTAACATTTTGATTTCCAGGAATGGTGATTCCCAGCTATTTGATAAGGTCAGAGGTCACGACATCAAACTGCTGCGCTACCTGTCAGTGCATTACATCTTTGACCTGATGGTGGAGAAAAAGAAAGTGAAGTTTGGCTTGAAGTAAGTGCCAAATAGTTGGGTTTCACCCAGAAATTTATTTGTTGTCCTAACATGCCGCTGACAACACTGAGCCAGTAAACTCACCGAGTTGGAGGCATTGCCATTGTACTTTACACTAGCTGGCCATCTGTGTGTTGGGATTGTTATACTGTGATGTAATATGATATTGATTTCTATAATTTATGAGCCAGATTTCAATAATTACAACTTTCCATTAAAATATAATACATTGAATTGAATGAACATTACTGGCAGTGGGGGTGGTGGGTCTGGTGTAGCTGTTCCAAGTGCAGGGCTCATGGTTGTTACAGCAGCAAAACAACTGGCTTGATGGGCCGAACTGCCATTTCGCCCACAAAATATACAGTCAATTCATTTTATAGTACATTCGGTGGAGCGTGTTGAGACGTCTCAATGACATGATAAGGCGTTATATCAAATGCAGGATTATTATTGACCATTCTATTCGTGGGGTATAGTTATCTGTAAATGTGCTGCCACAGTCACTGACAAATACATAGTTGCTACATTTGCTACAAATCACATGAAGAGCTTTGAAACATTTTGATGATGTGAGAAAGCTGGCAAAGTTGATAACACTCTCGCCTCTGAGTCAAAATATTGCAGGTACAAGCTCCACATCGTGATTTGAAACGTGTACAGTCTAGGCTAACACTCTAATGTAGTACTGGAGGGTTTTTGGAGGTGCCGTCCTTTGGTGAGATGTTAAAACCAAGGTCTTGTCTGTTCTGGTTGACGTTAAAGATCCCATGGTGCTACTTGAAAAGAGAATAAAATTGGTCATTCACTTCATAGCTGTTTGTGGGACATTGCTGTGCACAAATTGGCTACCCTGTTCTTCAACAACACCTTGGATCTATATAATAATAATTATTGCATTCGATATAACGCCTTATCACTTTATTGAGGCTTCTCAAAGCGATTCAATGAATATATTGTAAAGTAGATGTAAAGTAGTGTATTTTGTGGTCGAAACACAGCAGCGAATTGCACACATCAGTATCCCTCAAACAGTCGTGGTTTGATGACCCAATTTTTTTTGGTTTGGGTTTTTGGGAGGGATATAGAGTGCCTTTAACGTGGGTTGCCCTTAACAAGCACTTAGAAAAATAGTCATCCAGTTTACGATAAAAATTCTATGAGATCCTTTGAGACATCCTCATAACATGAAAGGTGCTAAATACAATATTTGTATCAAATTACATACAAGGTCTCTGGGGGAATATATTGAACAGTGCCTCTAATAATGACTTTCCCTTTAAGCATCCCATTAATTCTGTTCTCCTTTAGTGTGACATCCTCAGAGAAAGTGGACAAAGCACAGCGGTATGCAGATTTCATCTTGCTGTCCATTCCCTATCCAGGTGAGCACTGGAAGCTTCATACAACCTGCATTGGCAGGAGCTGACGAACGTCATTGGCCTGAAACAGACTTTCAAAAAGCTGGTCAGCTAAATAATCAAAATGAGAAATAAGCTTTCCGATTTTTGTAGAGACACGTAGTGGTAGAAACACTTTATCCCCAAATCCCTCTGCCTCTCCCCATCCTTTGTCTCCTTCAAGGCCCGTCTCATGACCTTGCTCTTTGACCGCGCCTTCGGCACTTCCGCATCCCATTTTGACTCCAGTCCCTAGCTTGTGGGAAACCTTTAATTGTCCACTGCCTTGGGACGTCCTTCCTACGTGAAAGACGCTATACAAATGTCATTTGTTGTTTTTGTTAGTTTGTATACAGTGGCGCAGGGGTGCAGTGAGCATGCACTGCCACTGAATAACACAGTGATTTCTTTGACTGTTGAAAACAGGTCTGTTGCCCTGCAAGTCTGAGTCTAGTGTACTAATGTTAATTTAAAGGAATTTAATTTTATTGGCTTTTAAATTTATAAGGCAAGCCTTAGGTCTTGCCAGCCTGCATTTAATACTATCCAGAATTAAAAAAAACAAGGTGCATCCCTCCGGGGAGAGTGCATATTTTATTCCAGATGCAGGAATTTCCATGTGTAAGTAGTATACATAGAACTCTATCTGGTTTGGATTCTCTAAAGCATGATGATGGACTTCCTCATGTGTCAGAGGTTCAGCTGACCAAAACACAATAATTTTATAGATACAGTATGAATTTCAGGCAAGACTCCCTCTAGTTATCTCACCTAACTAGTTTGTTTCCATGCATCTCTAAAGCTGATAACCCTGAACCATTTGTATGCCACAAACTTGTCGATTGTTAGGTTGTTAGTTATTTGGCAGATCACTTTTCGGTGGGTAAAAATCCCTTTAAAGAAAAATTACAAAATTAATAATAATTTGGTCCAGCAGATCGCTTTTCTGTGGAATAATTTTTTTTGAAGGAAAAGGAAAATTACAAAAATAATAATAATTTGGTCACTCAAAAAATTAAAAAGCAAGGTGCATCCCTCCAGGGAGAGAATGCGTATTCAAAGAAAAGGAAAATTACAAAAATAATAATAATTTGGTCACTCAATCTACGACTGTTTGTGGGACTCTGCTGTTTGCAATTGGCTGCTGTGCTTCGCCGACAAAATGTGCAATCAATTCACTTTACAATATATTCTGTGAAGTGTTTGAGATATCTTGAAGATGTGATAAGGCCCTATATCGAATGCAAGGATTATTATTTCCTTTTTAGCCCATTACAGTTCCTTGTTCCACACCTGTGCTTTCAGTGTGTGTCATGTACCTTTTTACTAAATACAGTAAACTCCTGTTAACCCTAGCTTAACTTGTCACTACCACTTAGTCATGTTAATATTAGTTATATATATATTTATACATATACCTAACTCGGCATTCCTGTTAACTCATCACTGAGCCCTTTTCCTTTGGAGTGATGAGTTACCTGGAGTTTATTGTAGAAAAATGTCCTTCTGTATTTCCTATTTTCTTTTGTTGTCTTTGTGAAGGTTTTGAGCTCCTGGGATGGAGCCTATCACTGAGACCATTCTTCACTGATTTTTCTGAACCAGCTGAAGAAATAATTTTCATTTTGAAAACTGTTTTCAACCTGAAATAAAATTCAAAACATTCTTTTCTGTTTGAGGAATAGAGTTGCTTACTTGCGAGCACTAGGTTAGTGAAGTTAGGTTGGGGCTTACTCCCTGTTAGATTCTAGCTCTGTGAGTGCTGACCAGGTCTGTGGCTCGAGCCTGCTGAGAGGAAATTGTAACCTAGATCTCCCCTGACATGTGTGCTTCCTTGCTTCCTCCCTTTCCTCCTTCAAGGCCGGTCTCAAAACCTTTCTCTTTGACCGAGCCTTCAGCTCCCCTCTCGACTCTCTTCCCCCTCCTCGCTCCCTCCCTTCCCTCCCCTCACCCTGACCATTTCCCCCCTGCTCGGGTCATGACCCAACTGTGCAGCGCCTTGGGACGTCCTCCTGACGTGAAAGGCGCTTTATAAATGGAATCTTGTTGTTGTTGTTGTTGTTGTGGTCCCTCCTGCATGAGATACAGCTGCCTGATCACAAGCTTTTGCTACAGGAAGAGATTGTGGCAGGCCTGTCCCTTGCTCCTTCTCTATCCCCCTCACAGCTCAGGCAGGAGATTGTTAAGATTTGGTTCTTGACCAGCAGCTTTCTTCCCCCCACTCCCATCCGTAGCCCAGATAGATGCTTGGCAGCCATCATCAGAAACAGTCATCATCATTTATAGCCCACACATCAACACTTGTGGAGTCCTGTAGCTCAGTGGTTAGACCACTCGCTTTGCAAGCGAGAGACCTGAGTTCAATTCCAGGCAGGGCGAAACCTTGGGCAAGTTTCTTTACTCCACACGCCTAATAATAATCCCTCCAAAACCAAAAACAATAATAAATTGGTCATTTTCAATCTACGACTGTTTGTGGGACATTGCTGTGCGCAATTGGCTGCCGCGTTCGCACACAAATACAGTGTGTTTGTTCTGTGAAGCGCTTTGGGATGTCCTCCCGACGTGAAAAACGCTATATCAAATGCAAGGATTATTATTATTATTATTACTTGCTTCTCCCACAATGTGATCCGTAAACCATCCCAATGTAATATCTCACACCATGAGTCACTGAAGGACACCAGGAATAACTAAACTCTAAATAAAATAAAAGTATTACCTCAATAATGCTGTTTTTCTTTCCTCCACTAATCACCCTAATCAAACTAACCAAACTAATCAAAGACAGGTCTTTGAATGGGTGACTGGGACTGATTCAGTTTCCAGGAGTGCAGAGAACGCGTGCGTGACATTTTGTACATTTTGTACATTTTGCATTACACTCACAAGTGTAATGCTAACTGCACAGCTCGGGATTTGCCCTCCTAGGCCTGCTGTGGAGTGTTGTCTTGCAGGGTTGAGGATGTCTGCATGTTAGTCATAGTAACAGCTTTCCTCTTTTTTCAGGTTGTGAGTTTTTTAAGGATTACAAAGATCGAGATTATACAGCTGAAGGACTTGTATTCAACTGGAAGCAGGTAAGTAGGCAAAAGATGGATAAGGAATGGGAGCAAAAGTGGAGCTTCCCTCTCTGCCTTTTGTACACCTTTAACAAGCACTTTGAGATGTCCTCGCAACAGAAAGTTGCTATGTAAATTGCATTGTATTTAATCAGTTATCCTTACATTCAGTATAGCATCTTTCATATTGGGGGCATGTCTCAAACTGTTTTGCAGGATTTGTTGTGAATTGTAGTGACTATTTTGTATACAGCCACAAAAATTAAGTGAGTGATCAATTTTATTTGGAGGTTGTTTGCCTTGGATACAGGAATAAGATCCCAAATCTTTTAGAGTAATGCCATGCCATTTTTAATGTCCACCTGAAGAAACGGCCTCGGTTTAACATCTCATCCATGGTTCCCTTAGGGCTGCCCTGGAGAGTCAGCCTAGACCGTGAGCTCAGACACAGTCCTCAACACGGAGCTTGAGGACCCACGAGTCCTTCTGTCTCGGAAGAGAGTGCTATCAACTGAGCCAGGCTGCCCCCTACATCTACCCCTACCGGCATTGTGCTTAGCCCTCTCCTTGCCCTCTCCGAGCCCCCTCATTCACCTACACGCATTGTACCGTCTATTGATTGTTGCTCTGTATTTGCACTCGCAGGATTTTGTTGACGCACCGCTGAACATTCCTCCTACTCTGACTGAGAACCTGAGCATTGATTGGCGAGATTATCAGGTGAGCCAAACCGGTTCTGGGCCAATTTGAGCACTTTTATAGAAATGTGGGCCATGGGGCCGAGGGCGTGGTGGGACAGCTTTGAGATGACTCATTGTTCAAAAGCTTTCCTTCTTGCGGTAGTGACATTATAAAACCATAGGTGCCAGTGAGGATGTAAGAATTGTCAGAAAAAACTTATCAATTTCTACTCTGTGAAAGAGTTATCACTGAACATGTGTCACTGCTGAATTAAAGAGCATTTTATGTTTAATGTCATCAGGGGTCGGGGGGGGCGGGGGGTTAACCACTGGGTTATTCTGTTCAACCTATCAACTTTTATTTGAAGCTCTCACTTGGGTTCCTGGGTTTGCCTGCACAGGTTGCTGCAGTGCTTCATTCCTGGCACTGGAGGGCACCAGCTGGGTCGTGGTTTCCTCTGCTGGCAGTAAATTGATTGTGAGGATTTTTAATTACTGCGTTGGTTAACGAGAAATTTCCCCTCCAGATTTCAGCTCCTAACTCGGTGGCTGTGAAATTTTGACCTGATGTTAGTATTTTAACCTCTGAGCTAACCAGGAGAAAAATACATCCTTTTTTTTGTTGGCCGGGTGTCTGACACATCCTCCTTAATCTGACTTCTTTATGAAAATGCAAGTTGTTGTTGTTGTTTCCTCTTCCCCACCCAACCCAAGTTTCCATTTCTGTCAGGGCAACAAAATGTTCTGTTTCTCTCCCATCTTTATAGTCCTGGGACCTTGTACAACAGACACAAAATTACCTGAAGCTGCTCATCCACACAATAAACCGGAATGGTGAGTCTGGGTTGTAATACTAATCCTTGCATTCGGTACAGTGCCTACAGTATTGAAATGTCTCGCCATTGACTCTTTCTGACTGTGGGCTAGTGATGTGATAAAGTCTCTCCCTGATGAGGGAGATGGTTAGAGCTTTGTTTTCTTAAGCTCTGGTATCTTTGTTACTACAGAATCTACCTTGAGCAAAATTGATAGTTTTGTGTTTAGGTTTTTCCTTTGGTGTTCCTGATGCCCTGATGTATTCTTATTCATTTATTCTCTTATACAGATGACAGTGGTTTGTTGGTTCACTGTATCTCTGGTTGGGATCGGACACCGCTTTTTGTCTCTCTCCTCCGTCTCTCGCTCTGGGCTGTAAGTACACATCGCAATTCAGCTTCTCATAGTTTCCTGAAATATTTAGTTGCAACTTGTTCTACAGTTTTCTCCTTTTTATTTCTACTGGAGTAAGATTCAATGTACTCACTCCAGTGGGCTCTTATTCATGTGTCCAAGCCTGTATAGTAAATAGTGTCAAACAGTGCCATTCAGCACTGTTGACAGACTGTTTGCCTATGAGGGTCATCCAGTTCTGGCCTGACGGCCACATAACATTTCCTTTATTTGAGTCTGGTTAGCAATAGGCAGCTAGATGGCTGGTTTTGTTCTCTGTAACTGAGTGCTGCTGATGCCAACCAAAGCCCCTACTACTTCCCCAGTTGAGATTGGCTAGCTCAGCATAGCCACACTGAGATTCGAACTGCATCACATATGTGATGTCTTCACCCATGGGAGGGGTGCAGTTTGTTTGACAGTGTAGGGTCTGGCACGAGGGACAGAAGGAAGCCTGAGGGACAGGGTGCAGAGTGGGAATCATTGAGTGGTTCTCAGACACAGGATGTAACTAATCTGAGCCTCAGAGTTTCTACTGTTTTTCTGCTGTCACATAATTAGTAGAAACTAAAAATTTACACAAGTTAGCGTGAATAATCTGGGAAACAGTAAACTGTGTTGGTGGCATTTTGATGTAATTTTAAAAGTTCCTATTGAAATGTTGGCTGAGACATGTGAATACTCTGTAGATTAAGGAATCCCTTGGCCCTTGTTTCCCTCAGGATGGGCTTGTCCACGTGTCTTTGCAGCCTGTGGAAATTCTCTACCTAACCATTGCTTATGACTGGTTCCTATTTGGGTGAGTGTTTATTTCCATTCTGACTATTCTTTCGAGCAGGAATCAAGGAGATTGTGTTCTCTCTCTGTCCACAGTGCAGCTGATTTAAAACCAAGCTTCTGCATGTGATTGCCTTGTGAAATCGTGATACTGAGAATGAATCAGTTTATGCTGTAAACAGAAAAAGATTTGGTTTCTCCCACGTAATGTGTAGCTGTATAGTTATTCCGCCTATTCTTAACTCATTCTCACCTCCCCCAGTTCTTCCTCCCAATTACAATCTACTGGCTTCTAAATACTATGCCTGGCATCAACTATTTCTGACTCACGTCATCCTTACTCTTTTCAACTCTGTTGCTATCTTTGACTGTTTACCTCAGATCTCAGTACAACAAAAACACAAATTGCAAGAAAATAAGCTGTGAATAAAGAAAGGTACATCTAATGAAATAGTTGAGAGTATCGAGTGCATTCACTGATCTTCCACCCACAAAATATAGTCAATTAACCCACAAAATAAACAATCAATTAACTACAGTATATTCTGTAAAGCGTTTTCAGACGTCTCGAAGACAAGGTACTATATCAAATGCAATTATCATTATTATTTTTCCTTCTTTGTAATTGCAGGCATATGTTACCCGACAGACTCATTAAAGGAGAGGAGGTGAGTCAAAAGCTAGGGAAACTGTTCCTCTGTCTTTGTGTGTAGGTATGTGAGTTTGTGCTGTTTAGTGTTACAGGTTCAATTACAGACAGCAGTGTTATCAACAGTTCTCTTTGTGACCATGATTTTACTGTTAATCACATTGTGATCTTGCTTAGGCTGTGTTCCTTTCTATTTATCATGCTAACAAATGGGTCACATTACAAAGAGAAGAGGTCAAGGATTGACTTTTTATCTTTCTGTAATGTGAAAAACTGCTCAGAGATTATGGGCACTGGTCAGAAACCTCTGTGCACTTTGTATTTTGGAGAATCAATTTGAAATTTACATCTTGTTGAAGATTAAGTGTAGATGAACATTAAGATGAATCACCTAAACATCACAGAGATGTAATCTCATCCTTCACGCATACCAGTTCAAACATCTTACCTTTATAGCATCAAGTTTCTCCAATGAGTCCAACTTCCTCCATGATAGGCCATTCAAGCTGTTGATTATCTCAGTGTCGCTCCTAAAATTACCCATTGCTTCCTCGGACCTCTTGTCCTTTTGTCCAGCTACCTTTTGACAATATATTATTCCAGGTTTGCTTCTTCAATCTCTTTTAGCATCTTTTATACCTCTTGGTGTCTTGACCAATAATTCTCCAGATTAAAAAATATCGGTCCTTCACTTCATGGTTAATAATGGGACATGGTTCTTTACAAATTGGCGGCTGCGTTTTTCTTGACAAGGCAAAGCTGGGTGGAGGTGACAAAGGCGAGGATAAGGGTTTCAGTTATGTAATGGCTGAGACAGGCAGTGTTGCAGAGATGCAGGAAAACAGATTTGATCAGATGTGAAGGGTTAAAAGGAGAATTTTGAGTCCAGCTCTGTGGGTTTGATTGAGCAACTGGGCAAGTTGGTACAATTAGCATTTGAGATGAAGAAATGTTGGCATCTATCATAACAGCAGTGGTCGTGGAGATGAGGGTCGAGGCAGAAAGGTAGAATTACATATCATCCGGGTAAATTTCTAGGTAAGCCTGCAGAAGGAAGAGCGTGTCAATGAGGAAACTGAGAGGACTGAGGATTAGAGCCCTGAGGAATGCCGCACGTGACCAAGTGGGTGCTGGAGTGGGATGATGGGGGCTAACAAGAAGTGGCAACTGGGTGGCCCAGAGCTGTGGGAATGGGGTCAAGAAGACGGTAGTGGGTTTCTGGAGAGGGTTGAGAATCCCAGCTTGTGGATGGGATAGAGTTTACCTGGGGGTCACAGAGCAGAGGAGTAAGGAAAGGTCCAAGATTAAACCCCTGAGCTATCACACTCAATACTGCCTTTCACTTTGACCTTTTAAATAACTTGATTTTACTGTTTATTCCTGTAGTCTCTCACCTTAACATCAAGCCTTCAGTCCATGTTTCTTAAATTCCAGTTCCTTACCAGCAGATGGTGATGTTGCACTATGTAAAATAGTATTAGAACAGGACCATATTTTTTGAAAACAATGTTACTAGTGCTAAATATTTGCGAGTGTTATTGTGATCATAAAAGGATTTGCAGCCTGGCTCACTCTTGTCTCTGAATCAGAAGGTTGTGGGTTCAAGTTCCAAGTTGGGACTTGGAACCCATAGAGACACTCCAATGCGTGCTGCATTGTCAGAGATGTCGATAAGACGTTAAACCAAGATGTTTGGGTGGGTATTAAAGATCCAACGGCACAATGCGAAAAGAGAAGAGAGTTTCTCTCGCTGGTCTCGTAGTCAACAATCTCCCGGATAAAATTGTCCACTCAATCCATGGCTGTCATGGGATATTGCTGTGCACTAGTGGCTGCTGTGTTTGCCCACAAAACACAATCACTCCACATAGAGTCATTCCACTTTACAATAAATCCTTTGGAGCACTCTGAGACATCTGAAAGACTTGTTAATACAAGGTATCAAATGCAAACATTATTATTATTATGGGTTTCATTCCAAATTCCAAAATCTTCCAAGCTGCCTTTTTGATATTTAGTGATGCTCTCTCATCACCAATAAGTGGAAATTACTTAATTGAATGGCCAAATTTTGATTAGATTGCCTGTTAACCTTCTCTGTGTCAATGCCTATCAAGCTTCTCCATATAACTGTAACCATTCATCTCCACTCCACTCAGTTACTGGTGTCCTCTCTATAATGGGGTGTGTTGACTGAACCCAATTGCAGCCTAACTAATATTTTGTACAATTAGCAATACTCCCATGCATTGCATTTAACTATTCCTTTAAGTGCCTCTATAAACATTGTTCTTTTAAAAGCTTTGTGTCAGCTTCTGTCGTCAAATTGATTGTGGAAAGCCATATTATTTAGTGTATCGGTCTGACATTCCAATGTTGGGAGTCTGCTGTATTGTTGGAGCTGCCATGCCTGCTGCCATCCTTCATATAAAACCTTAAATCTGGTTCAGATCGAGTCTCTCACACCGCCTGCACTTCATCTCCACAAACAGCTTCTCCTCTAGCCCCCGACCGTCTTGTGTGGCGTTCCTCAGGGCTCTGTCCTTGTCTCACACTGCAGGCTGCCGAAACCTCATACATGCTTTAATTAAATTGAGGCTCGACTATGCAAAGTCATTGCTTGTCGGCCTCCCCAACTCCTTCCTCCACAGGCTGCAGATCATCCAGAACTCTGCAACCCGTGTCCTCTCCCGCACTAAGCTGTGTGACTCTTATCACCCCCATCCTTGCCCAACTCCACTGGCTTCCCATCACACAAAGGATACAGTTTAAGATCCTGGTCCACGGTCTTGCTCCCCCCTTCCTCTGCGACCTCCTAAACCCCTACCATCCTGCTCGCTCCCTCCGCTCAGTGAGCTCCGGACTGCTTTACGTCCCCCGCATTGCTCGCCCCACTATTGGCGGGCGGGCCTTCCGCAACTCTGCCCCAAACCCTCTGAAACTCCATCCTGCAGTCCCTCTACCTCGCCCTCTCGCTTGTCACCTTCAAGACCCATCTCAAGACCCTTCTCTTCAACCATACTTTTGATCTCCCTGCTTATCCCCCTGGCCTACACCCTCCCCGACCCCCAGCTCGGGTCCGTAAATCTGTCTGTCCAGCGCCTTGGGACGTCCTCCCGACGTGAAAGGCGCTATACAAATGTAATTTTGTTGTTGTTATTAAATCAAGTCTGTCCCTGTTCAGATAGGCACTATTTGAAAAGAGAAGTGAGTTTCTCCCAGTGTCCTGCAGCAATCCTCCAGAATAAAAAATAGCCATTCACTCTATGGCTGTTTGTGGGACATTGCTGTGTGAAAATTGGCTGCTGCTTTCATCCACGTGATACAGTCATCTCATTTTACAGTATAAGATGTGAAGTGCTTTGAGAGTCCTCTGACTGGAAAGTCAGTTTATTAAACGTAATAAATTTCCGTAAAGATAGCCAGATCACCAGTCTCTCTACATTGAACAACTTTCTTTGCTTTTATCATTTGGTTCCATTCCACACTCTCTCCTCTGTATCAAAAGGATTTGAGCTCACAGTCTGGGATGTCTGAGGTGCCATCCTTTGGGTGAGACATTAAACCAAGGCCCCTGTTCCAGTGCACAGTTTTTTAGCGAAACGTGTTTTCTTTTGAACTTCAAAACTCTGTGCTGTGTGGCATTCTTTGATTTAAATCAAACATTGACCTGAAGAAAGAAAAAACTTTGTCCTTTCTCGATGCAGCCCACCATAGGAGCTAAAGACCACAATTGTACTCACTGACTTGAGTGACCCACACGCTTACATAATGTTAGTGGAATCAGGCCAGAAAGCTTGAATCTGAAAGCGTGCATTTCTTTCTTTCAGATTTTCTTTTTTTGCTTCAATTTTTTGAAGCACATCACGTCCGAGGAGTTCTGCGCAGTGAAGAAGCCAAGGTCAGCATCTCGCCTGAGATTGGGTGATGCAGCACCTGATTGTAGCAAATTGTTGTCTAAGACTAACTGTGTTCAGATCCACAATAAGAAAATGTTCCTTGTGTGTGTTGGGTGGGGGGAAAGAAGAGGTGGTCCTAGAAGAGGTGGGATCCCAGGGGATAGTCTTTTGAGGGGTTGAATCTTTTGAAATAAGTGATTGAGTCTTTTGAAATAAGTTCCTTGATGGGGTATGGGTCTGAGGGGTTCTCGGGAGAAATCTGCATCCTACATCCTACATGATGACCTCTAAATAAATCTTGTTTAGAGAAAGTTTAGGAGGATAGAGCTGGGAGAAATAAGCTCTTATTCATTGACTTGAAGTTCACATGAATTGCATGGGAGCATTGGTCGATTGGGATGTCTTGAGAAATAATGCAACATGCATTGCGGGTCTGTGCTATCCTCAGCTGTTCTGTATGTATTACTTACACTGAGCATCCAGTGAAGAAGCTCTGACACCTCATCCTCTTTCCATCAACTTTCTCTCCACCTATCTTCTCCTTGACACATTTGAGGCTAATTATAGTTTCTACTGTGGCCTGAGCGCACTCACCAACATTAGCAAATTGCATTTAAACAGTACCTTTCTCTGGAGGGTGTGAACACCTTACTCTTTGACCGTTCCTATGGTCACCTCCAGTCTCCCCTTGGCTCAGCGTCGAACTATGCCACTGTAAAGCGCTCGGAGAAGCTACACTACATTAAGGGTGCTGTATAAATGCAAGTTGTTATTCATCTTAGAAACATCATAGAAACATGACAGTTGAGGTTCTGTAAGTGGGGTCCTGTAGCTCAGTGGTTAGAGCACTCGCCTTGCAAATGAGACACCTGGGTTCAATTCCAGGCAAGGCAAAACCTTGAGCAAGTTTCCTTACTCAGGACACCTAATAATAATTCTTCCAAAAAATAGAAACAATAATAAATTGGTCATTTTCAATCCATGACTGTGGGACACTGCTGTGCGCAATTGGCTGCCGTGTTTTGCTCACAAATATATGGTCAATTCACTTTACAGCATATAGATTCATAGAATGTTACGGCACAGAAGGAGGCCATTCGGCCCATCGAGTCTGTGCCGGCTCTTTGACAGAGCAAGTCACTTTCACTAACCCCAATCACCAGCTTTCTCCCCATAACCCTGCAAACCCGTCTTCCCCAGATACCTATCCAGTTCTCTCTTAAAAGCTGTTATCAAATCGGACTTCACTACCCTTTCGGGCAGATCATTCCAAATTCGAACAACTCGCTGAGTGAAAAAAATTATTCTAACCTCCCCTCTGCTTCGTTTGGTGGATATCTTAAGACTGTGACCACGGGTCCCAGACACACCTACCAGCGGAAACAGCTTTTCCCTATCTAGCCTGTCGAAACCTTTCATGATCTTGAAGACCTCTATCAGGTCCCCGCGTAACCTTCTCTGCTCTAATGGGAAAAGTCCTAACTTCTCCAGCCTGTCCTCATAGCTAAGGTTCCCCATTCCTGGTATCAACAACAACAACAACAACAAGATTCCATTTATAAAGCGCCTTTCACGTCAGGAGGACGTCCCAAGGCGCTGCACAGTTGGGTCATGACCCGAGCAGGGGGGAAATGGTCAGGGTGAGGGGAGGGAGCGAGGAGGGGGGAAATGGTCAGGGTGAGGGGAGGGAGCGAGGAGGGGGGAAATGGTCAGGGTGAGGGGAGGGAAGGGAGGGAGCGAGGAGGGGGAAGAGAGTCGAGAGGGGAGCTGAAGGCACGGTCAAAGAGAAAGGTTTTGAGACCGGCCTTGAAGGAGGAAAGGGAGGAAGCGGCGAAGGCACTGGGGGATGGAGTTCCAGAGCCTCGGGGCTGAGAGGCTGAAGGCCCGACCACCGATGGTAGGGCGGTTGGGGCGGGGGACGTGGAGCAGACCGGAGCCAGAGGAACGGAGGGTACGGGCAGGTAGGTAGGGGGATAGTAGGTTGGAGAGGTAGGAGGGAGCAAGGCCGTGAATGGCCTTGTAGGTGAGGATGAGGATCTTGAAATCAATCCTCTGGGGGATGGGGAGCCAGTGGAGGCGAGCGAGGGTGGGAGTGATGTGGTCCCGAAGCCTGGTGCGGGACAGTACACGAGCTGCAGAGTTCTGAATGACCTGCAGCTTGTGGAGGGAGGTGGCGGGAAGGCCGGCGAGGAGAGAGTTCCCATAGTCCAGCCTTGAGGTGACAAAGGCGTGAACCAGGGTTTCAGCAGCGTGAGGGGTGAGGTAATGCCGTAGTCTGGCGATGTTCCGGAGGTGATGGAAGGCGGTGCCAGTTGTGGTGCGGATGTGAGGGAGAAAGGACAGCTCAGGGTCGAACAAAACGCCGAGGTTCCTGACTGGCTTTGAGAGGTGGAGAGTGCAGCCTTGGATGCTGATGGTGTCAGCGCCTGAGGTGCGGAGGCGCTGACGTGAGCCAATCAGGAGGGCCTCGGTTTTTCGCACGTTGAGCTGAAGAAAGTTGTCTCTCGTCCAGGACTCGATGTCGGACAGGCAGCTGTCAGGACATCGGTGGTCGTGGAGTTGAGAGTAGAGGAGGAAAGGTAGAGTTGGGTGTCATCCGCATACATGTGGAAGTTAACTCCATGTCTGCGGATGATGTCACCGAGGGGGAGCATATAGAGGGTGAAGAGGAGGGGACCGAGGACAGAGCCCTGAGGGACACCACATGAGACAGTGCGGGGGGTGGAGGAGAAGCCATTCGTCGAGACAAAGTGAAGACGGTGAGAAAGGTACGACCTAAACCATTCAAGGACAGTGCCTTGAAGGTTGAGGTGGGAGGACAAGCGGTGGAGTAGGATAGCGTGGTCGACCGTATCGAATGCTGCCGATAGGTCGAGGAGGACGAGGAGACAGAGGGAGCCCTGGTCACAGATGGTCAGGATATCATTGGTGACCTTGACCAGGGCAGTTTCTGTGCTATGGGCAGCACGGAAACCTGACTGAAGGGGTTCGAAAAGAGAATGGGTGGAAAGGAAAGAGCGCAGTTGGGAGGCGACAACTCTTTCCAAGACCTTGGAGAGAAAGGGGAGGTTGGAGATGGGCCGGTAGCTTGATAGCTGCGACGCATCAAGGGAGGGTTTTTTCAGGGTGGGCGTGATGATGGCAGTTTTTAATGGAATGGGGACAGAGCCAGAGGAGAGGGACAGGTTGATGATGTCAGTGATATGTGGGGCAAGAAAGTGGAGCTGGGAGATAAGGAGTGGAGTGGGGATGGGGTCAAGGGAGCAGGTGGTTGGTTTTAGGGATAGGATGAGTTCAGTGACAGAGGGTGGGGAAACGGGTACGAAGGTGTGTAGGGGAGGATGGGTAGGAGTCGGAGTGTGGGAGGGAAGGGGTGGGTGGTGGGTGGAAGTTGGAGGGGAAGTGACCGCGGAGCGGATTCCCTTGATCTTGGATTCAAGGAAATCCAGCATCTCCTCGCAGTGAAGGTTGGAGGAGATGACCTGCGCGGGGTGGCGGGGGGGACGGAGGAGTCGGGTTGTGGTGGAAAACAGTAGCCTGGGGTTGTTCTTCGCCTCCAGGATTATCCTGGAGTAGAAGGACGACTTGGCCGAGGCTAGAGTGGAGCGGTAAATTTTGAGGAGGTCCAGCCAGATTTGTCGGTGGACCGTTAGGCCAGATTTGACACAGGTGCGTTCAGCAGCCCGCACCTGGCTTTTCAGTGAGCGGAGGTGGGTGGTGTACCAGGGGGAGGAGCGGGAGTAGGAGACAGTGCGGGAAGTGATGGGGGCAAGAGTATCGAGTGTGGAGGAGAGGGTATTGTGGAGGAGGGAGAGAGGAGAAGAGGGGTCGGTGAGGGTTGAAGGCCAGAGGGAGAGGAGTTCAGAGGACTCCAAGGCATCGGTTAGGGATTGTGGGGGTAACTTCTTCCAAGGGCGGTAGAAGATGGTGGTGGGTCTGGTGGAGGTGGGGAGGGGGGTGGAGGTGGTGAAGGAGATGAAGTAGTGGTCAGAGATGGCCTTGTCGGTAATAGTGACATCCGAGACACTGAGGCCCCGGGTGATCACCAAATCGAGTGGGTGGCCGTGACTGTGAGTGGGGGAGTTTATGTGTAAGGAGAGGTTGAGTGAGGAGAGCAGGGAAGAGAAGTCTGTGGAGATGGAGCAGGAGGGGGTGAAGTGTAGGTTAAAGTCGCCCAGGATGATGAGGCGATCGGAGCAGAGGCAAAGAGATGTGAGGAGTGTTGAAATGTCAGAGATGAAGGTGGGAGAGGTTTTAGGGGGCCGGTAGAGGAGGAGGATTTTAAGGGAGAGGAATGAGGGGTGGGAGAGGGTGAGGTGCTCAAAGGAGGGGAAAGAGCCAGTGGAGTAGGGGGATAGGGCAAGTGGTGTCCTTGAGATAAGGGCAACACCACCGCCACGGCGGTTGGGGCGGGGGATGTGGTGGGAGGTGTAGCCGGGTGGCGTGGCCTCCGTGAGGGGGAAGGTGTCGCCTGGGGTGAGCCAGGTTTCTGTTAAGGCCATGATATCAACGTTCTCATCAAGGATGAGATCGTTGATGACCAGGGCCTTGTTGCAGAGGGAGCGGACATTTTGCAGTCCGATGTGGAGGGAGCGGTTGACAGAAGGGTGTGTGGGAGGGGAGGGGGTCCAGGTTGTGAGGCAGGGGTGGGGGGAATGGGGATGAGGGAGGAGAGGTTGACTCCCCGGGTCTGTGTCCGGGGTGGGTGGCGAGTGTGGTGGGGAATGGGGCAGTCGGTGTGGCTGCTGCTGGACAGCCAACGCCGAGTGCCGCGGTGAGCCCGGCGGAGGATTCCCAGGCTGGAGCAGAGGGAGGTTGTGGGAGGGTCAAATGGGGATAGAAGACGAGAGGGGAGGAGAGAGCGGGAGAGATGCAGAGGGGGGAGGGTTTGGGGGGAGAGAGGAGGGGGGCGGGAGGGAAGGGGTGAGGGGGCTCGGGTCAAAGCGGCAGCCATAGTGCGCACGCGGGGACCGGGAGCGAGCGGTCAGGTGGATGGCATTATCCCGTAGATTGGGGCAGCGAACCCAACAGGACCATAGTGGGCTCTGATGTGAGCCCTGGGGGGGGGGGTGCAGAGGTTTTTTTTTTCTTTTTTTTGTGCGCGCGCACGTACCTGAAAACTAATCTATGACGTCGCAGTTCCCCCGCTCCGCCCCCACACCTCCCTCCCCTCCCCCCGGGGCTGAACTCGCTCCGGCGTCGAGTTTAAGTACCTGGGTCAGTAGGCCCAGGCTCCTCCCCGCGCTGTCCTGCCGCCGCTCCCCGATTCTCTGTGAAGCGCTTTGAGACGTCTAGAAGACGTGAAAAGCGCTATATCAAATGCAAGCATCATTATTATCTTCTGGTCCATAACCTATTGCATGCTGTGTGTAATGTTTCTTTTTTCTCCCTCACAGACGGAAAATCACAGACCTTCCTGCAGAGGATCTATGTCTTCTAGGTACATCTGTTTTTTTTCTTACCTGGCGGCCTTCGGATGAGATGTTAAACCGAGGTCCTGCCTGCCTGTTGAGATGGATATTAAAGATCCCATGGCACTATTTGAAAAGAGAAGAGTTTGTCCCGGTATCCTGGCCAAATAAAATTGATAACTCACTCCATGGGCTGTTTGTGGGATATTGCTGTGTGCAACTGACTGCTTCATTTCGCCCACAAAATGTACAGTGAATCCACTTTACAGTATATTCTGTGAAGCACTTTGAGACGTCTAAATGATGTGATATGGCGCTGCATCAAATACAAGAATTATTATTCTTAACAAGTACAATGTAGGTATAAATCGGACCTCATTTACATCCTAACAATTTGCGTGCTTAAAGCAGTAACTTACTATGATAATTTTACTGTTGAAATTCATTAGAAAATGTCAGGCTCCTCGAGAGGTGTTGATAGAATTGTGAGGTGCTGTGCTTTGAACATTTGATATTTTGTGCACAATGTACTGTGAGTTTAAATAACCAGACTTAATGCTTAAGAGTATCTAAACCAGTCAGTTACATGTACACCTGTTACGCATGGAAATTCCCATGTCTGGAATGGAATGCGCACTCTTCCCAGAGTAATACACTCTGCTTACCTAATACCGCAGTGCATTGGTTGCAGATTGGCAAGAGTCTACGCTTGGGGACCCCAGAGGGGGCGTTGGGATGCTGCTGGAGTTTAACCAACTAAAATCGCATAGCTTGCCATTGAGAGCACTGCCTGATAAGCTTCCTGTTACTTGGCTGGCTGGTCTGTCAACAGCAGTGCCCTGGAGTACTTAGGCTTAGGAACTGAGACTTGACTCCAATATTCCATTGTCATGGAGCCAGTTCAGCTCCTAGGTGACTGCACTCCCCCCACCCCAACCCCTGAGGCTACCCACCCTTTGATACTGCAGTGCTTGTTACTGCTATAGTGGTGGAAAATATGAGGAAAAGTGTCAAATCTGATGTAATGCAATGCCAAAGCCATATGAGACTCAGGCATGTTTGAGGTTGATTTCTTCACCCACCACCAGCGCGTTGAGAGGGTTGTAGTCAGCGCTCTGCAGAGATGCTCTGCAAAACGTAATCGCTCGCTCCCGGTCTCTGAGTGCGCATTTTGGCTGCCGCCCCGACCTGAGCCTCCCCCTCTACTCTAAATGTCTCTCCTCCCACCCCCCTCTATCCGCTACTCCCCCTCTGTCCTTCTCTCCCACAGCCCTCGCCGCCTTCTCTCTCTCCTTGACCCATCACCACTTCCCTCTGCTCCAGCCTGGGCATCCTCCGCCAGGCAAAACATGGCTTCTGGCACTGGCTGTCCCAAAGCAGCAACCCCACGTGTCCCATCACTCACTCACTCCGCTCAAACCGCCTCCTTAAGGCAAACCCAACTTCCCCCTCCCTCTTATGTACCCTCCCCAACTCTCCACTCATGCCACTCTCCACAACTAACTTCTGCGTACACCCAAAAATCCTCTCCATGCCACTCTCTCCTCCCTCCCCTCCCTCCAGCAAACCCACCCTCATTTCCCTCCAAGATGCCCGTTCTCTCTCAAATAAAACCCTCACCATCCACAACCTCATCCTGGACGAGCACCTTGGCATTCTTGGGCTCACCGAAACCTGGCTCTCCCCAATGACCCCGCGTCCCCCTAGTGGAAGCCTCTCCTCCAGGTTACAACTTCCACCACACCCCCCGTCTAAACCAATGTAGCAGCGGGGTGGCCTTCATTTCCAAAGCCTCCCTTAGTCTTATCCCCTACTCCTCTGGCTGCTTCCCCTCCTTCGAGCACCTCACCCTCTTCACCCCTCTCTCCCATTGAAAATCCTCCTTGTCTACTGGCCCCCCTAAGCCCTCCGGCTCCTTCCTCACAGACATCTCTACTCTCCTCTCTCCCCTGTCCCTCTGCTCCGAGTGCCTGATCGCAACGGGCGATTTCAACCTCCACCTAAACTCCCCTTCACTGCTCTCCTCCCTAAACCTCACCCTCCGTATAAATTCACCTACCCACAACTGTGGTCATGCCTATGACCTCATTATCACCCACGGCCTTGACATTTCTGACCTCAGCATAGTGGTCAAGGGCATCTCGGACCACTCCCTCATCTCCTTCTCCTCTCACATCCCTCTCTCCTCCACCAAGCCCTCAACCATCCTCTACCGCCCTTGGAAAAGGCTACCCCCCGAGACCCTCACAAAGGTCCTCTCATCTTCAAACATCCTATCCGTCTGGCCTTCCACCCGCGGAGATCCTGAAGCAGCCGTCCAGCTGCTCCATGATCGTCTCTCCTCCACCTTCAACTCCCTCATCCCCCTGAAATCCAGGACCATCTCCAAACCCACCTGATTCCCCTGGTACAACAACAATCTCCGCCGCCTAAAAACCCTAACCCGGCTGCTCGAGTGCAGATGGCGAAAAACTGGCCTGACAGTCCAACGCCAACTGTGGCTCGAGCATCTCCACAGCTACCGCCGTTCTTTGACACATGCAAAAACGGCCTTCTACTCCAACATCATCTTGGAGGCTAAACACAACCCCAAAATCCTTTTTTCTACCACCCACTATCTCCTCCGTACACCCCCTCAGGCCTCCTCAATCTTCATATCAAATGCCAAGTGCGAGGAGGTCATGGACTTCTTTTCATCTAAAATTCATAATATCTGCCAGGCAGCCTCATCCACCTGCCTCTTGTCACCCACCACCACCCCCTCTCTGTCCCCCTCCCCATCATCTGCTCCTTCCACCTCTCCCATCCTACATTCCTTCCTGCCCATCTCTCCCTCTCACCCACCATCACCTCCATGAAACCCACCACCTGCTGCCTTGACCCCCTCCCCACCAACTTGCTGGTCACCCAGCTCCCCCTCCTCTGCCCACTACTGGCTGACGTCATCAACCAGTCCCTCTCCTCCGGATCAGTCCCTGCCCCCCTCAAAACTACTGTCATCACCCCCCTCCTCGAAAAACCTTCCCAAGATCCCTCAAACCCCAGCCACTACCCCCCATTTCTAACCTGCCCTTCCTCGCAAAAGTCCTAGAACGCATCGTTGCCAATCAACTTCGCGCACACCTCTCCTCCCACTCCTTCTTCGAACCCCTCCAGTCCGGTTTCCGCCCACAGTACAGAGACTGTGCTTGTGAAAGTCACAAACGACATCCTCTCTATCTCTATCTGTGCCAGGGCTCCCTCCGCCTACTTGTCCTCCTGGACCTCTCCACGGCGTTCGACACGGTCGATCACGCCATTCTCCTCCACAGCCTTTCCTCCGTCATCCACCTCAGTGGGACTGCACTCGCCTGGTTCAAGCCCTACCTCACAAACCGCAGTACATCTGCACAAACGGCTTCTCCTACAGTTTTCACCCGGTTACCTGTGGGGTACCCCAAGGATCCATCCTTGGCCCCCTCCTCTTTCTGATCTACATGCTCCCTCTTGGGGATGTCATCCGCAGACATGGGGTACATTTCCACATGTATGCGGATGATACCCAACTCTATTTTCCCACCTCTCTTTGCGACCCCCAGTCCCCTGATGTTCTGTCAGCTGCCTGTCAGACTTCAGGAGCTGGATGAGCGCAAACTTCCTTCAGCTGAACATTGACAAGACAGAAGCCATACTCTTTGGCTCTCGTCAACGTCCAAAATTGCACGGCTCTCACCTCCTCCACCTATCCGACCTCCCCCTAAAACTTTCCGAATCCGTCCCAACCTAGGCGTCAGGTTCGACCACCAAATATCCTTCCTCCCCCACATCCAGCCTCTCACCAGCACCGCTTTCTTCCACCTCCGAATCGCCTGAATCTGCCAATACCTCTCTCCGAAAGCCTCTGACACCCTAGTCCATGCCTTTGTCACCTCTCGGCTGGACTATTCTGTCGCCCTCCCCGGCAGTCTCCAATCCACTATCATCCATAAAATTCAGATCATCCAAAAACTCTACCGCCTGCGTTCTCACCCGAACCAAACACCGCTCCCCGATCACCCCAGTCCTTGCAAGACTGCACTGGCTGCCTATCCCAGAGAGGATCGACTTCAAGATCCTCACCCTTGTGTTCAAATCCCTCCACTCCTCTGCACCTCCCTATCTCTCTGACCTCTCTCCTCAAAACAATACCCGCTGCCATCGTTCCTCCGGGTCTGACCTCCTCCTCATCCCCCGAGTCCTCCGCTCCCCCTCGGCAGCCGCGCCTTCAGCCACTATGTCCCGAGGCTCTTGAATTCCCTTCTTCACCCCCTTCGCTTCGCCCCCTCTCTTACTATTTTCAGGTCTCTGTTGAAGACCTTTCTTTTCGACCGCGCCTTTGGTCACCTTCCTCCCCCTCCCCCTGGCTTGGCCCCGGGATCCGTTACTGTGAAGCGCTCTGAGACGCCGCCCGGCGTGGAGGGCGCTATATAAATCTAAGTTGTTGTTATCTTTCAAATACTATGTGTTTTTCAAATAAAAGTGCAAGTCTGGATCACATGCAGGACAATTGCTTCTCATCCCTAGCACTGACTCCCGCTTAGTTCATTCACTTCCCCAATCAGAATTTAGGATTGAAGAAGTAATGAGCCAAACATCAGTGTTTTGTGTGATCTGAAACTCAGCCCCAAACCTCGTCATAACATTCTGGATCATTTATCAATATTGTAGTTTTCATACAGAATACTGAAACCTCACTTGCTGCAGTGAGTCATCAGCAACTCATTTTCTACTCTCAGAATCACTTTGTTGCCATTAGAAGATTTAGTGGATGGTCTTGTGTTATGAAAGACAACAACAACAAAATTATATTTATAGAGCGCTTTTCACGTTGGGATGACATCCCAAGGCCCTAGCCAGTTAGGGGTCAGGACCCGAGAAAGGGGTGGGGTAGGGCTGAGGGAAGGCAGGGAGGTGGGAGAGCAAATGAAGCAAATGATCGAGAAAAAGGATCTTGAGACCGGCCTTGAAGGAGGCAAGGGAGGAAGTGAGGTGAAGGGACTGGGATGGACTTCCAGAGTGTGGGGGCAGAGAGGCTGAAAGCCCGGCCACTGATGGTAGGGCGGGTATGGCGGAAGACTGGATCAGGCCGGAGCCTGCTGAACGGAGGGATAGGGCAGGTTGGTAGGGAGTCAGCAGGTCAGAGAGGTAGGAGGGAGCAAAGCCATCGATCTTCAGTTTGATCCTCTGAGGGATGGGGAGCCAGTGGAATCAGGGGAGGGTGGGATGTGGGGGAGAAAGGACAGTTCAGGGTCAAACAAGATACCTAGGTTCCTGACTGGTTGAGTGTGCAGCTGTGGAGGCTGATGCTGCGAGCGCCCGAGGTGCGGAGCCACTGGCCTGAGCCAATCAGGAGGGCCTCAGTCTTGCTGACGTTCAGTTGGAGAAAGTTGGCCCTCGCCCAGGACTTGATGTCGGACAGTCAGTCGGTCAGGACGACAGTAGTCCTGGAATTGAGGGTGGAGGCAGAGAGATAGAGTTGAGTGTCATCCGCATACATGTGGAAATTTACCCATGTCTGTAGATGAGCAGGCAAGAGTGGGTCAGAAGCAGCCCTGCAGGCGTTTATTAAAAGAAATTGAATGGCAAGGAAAACAAAGTCTTGAATAATCTTCAGTCCACCCACAGAATTCAGTAAAAAAAATCAAAACTTAGGAGGCTGTTGCTTCCCCTCCCCCCCTCCATGGAATGATGCTGATTTAAAATTGATTTTAGTTTTTTTAAAATCGAATTCAGCCCATTGTCTATAGTTTATATGCTTTATACCTGGCCTTGTTTTATTGCTTTATTCTCCCAAGTAGATTTGCATTTTAAACTAATGATTCTTGTAAAGCAACTGCAGACATTCACCTGGATGTGGGTGTTTTGTGTGCAGTTAGTGCGCCATTGGTCACCAAAGCCCTTCATCTCACCAAAGATTTGGTTCTTAATTTACAAATTACTCTCGATGGCAAGCCTTGGCTCTTGCCAACCCATGCGTAAATCTCTCTGGAATTAGGTAAACAGGGCGCATTCCTCTGGAGAACAAGTGCACATTCCATTCCAGACACAGGGAATTTACACGTGTAGGTGGCATGCACAGAACTCTATCTGATTTGGATTCTCTTAAGCATGGTGATGGGTTTTCACATGTGTCAGAACACCCAACTGACCAAAGAATATTTACAAACTATGAATAAGCAGCTTATTGATCTTTCACATTTGGGTGCAAATCTACTCCAGACCAATGGAGTAACCTTCCCTGGAATACTTAATATGATAGAATGCTCTGCTTCATGCCTCACACTTGTTCTGTGTGAAGTGTCTTGAATGGACTGGGCACTCACGTATTGCACTGTTCACATAATCAGAGACCTGGCCCCTAGGATAGAGTGCCTTTTCAGCATTTGCATTTGGCACATTTCTCAGAATCAACATTGAGTCTTTTATACCAGACTCAGGGTAAACCTCCTTCGCTGTAAATTTCTGTGCAGTGGAATTGTAATTGCTGCTTGCTCTGCGAGCCGGTGCAGACTCAATAGGCCTCCTGTGCTAGAAATAATAATAATAATAATATTAAATCTCTATGGGTCTGTGATTCTGACCCTGGCTACACTCTCAGCTTCTCATGGGGAAAGGAAGCAATGTAGGCTGACCTTATTACACCAGAATAAGTTTAGTTTTGGGGGGATTGGACAGTTTAAAAAAAGTCAGAGGTAACAGAGCAAAAACAACTAAACTGTTTTCCCCATGCAGTTGAAAGATTTGGTTTGAAGTGGTATCTGTGCAAATATCTAAGCGGTTAATCATATCTTCGCAGCTCTCACACTTACATAGGCCAAGCACACAATTCCTAGGTTTTCACATAAGAAAAGCTGTGGGGTGAAGTGGTGGTATGTCCTAGTATGAGTTGACCACTGAATGCTGTGGTGCAGACAAACTCCAACTCAAAACATTGCACTTCTTTACAATGAGCAAGAAACTTTGTCAAGAGAAAAGAAAATATTACATATAGAGATATGTCCTAACAATCAAGAGTCTGCTGTAAAACAAATTGTGTTCAATACAAGTCTGGTTCACTGTCTGACTAGAAAATAGTCTTAAGGATGCGGCTGCCTGTATGTTTGAGCCTGTTGGGTAAAGTCAGTACAGCATACACGCTGAAATCTGGGCTTAAACAATGTGTTTGTGTCAGGTCATACAGAAAGAGGGAGCAGCACCTCCCTGAGCAGTGAATTCTCCGTCATCACAGAGGAGTCTCCCACCATAGCAGGGGCTTTCAACTACGAGGCAGTGGATCTGACAGCGGGCCCAGCAATGCAGGTGGCATGGTAAGTTGGCATTTTATGTTTTTGATGGATGATTTGACATTTGTGTCCCCTTGACCAGAGCTAACATTGTCATTTCCCTTTCCACATACCAGATGAGTGGTGCTTTGAGATGTCTCAACGATGTGATAAGGCGCTATGTCAAATACGAGGATTATTATTAGTCTACCCACCTGACTGCTCCCAGGAGGAGATAAGTGAGGAAAGAATCCTCTTTCTGTGAGGTCTATTTGTCCTTTTTCACTGTTGTGCTGCCGCCATCACTGAGCATGTGAGTAGGTGGAGCTAAACTTTGTGAGCAGCTGCACGATGGAGCTCCAATTCAGTGCATTACTCTGACTCCTGTTTGCATCCCTCACCCCTGCTCTCCTGAATCTTGGGAATGATTCTTCTGGCTCTGACCTGGAGAGCAAGAGAGAAATTTTTAATCGAGGTGAAGATCTTCAAATATAATCAATATGATCACTCAGCAGATGTTTGAGCACTTGCTTCCAGTTTGAGGTTTGCAGATGTTGCTGTTTAGCTGGAGTCCATCCTCCATTGTTGAAACCTGTTGTACCCTCCCTGACTGGAGTACAGATTTTTATATTGGGGTCTGTTATTCAGACTTGAAAATATTGATCCCGTGTTTGGGATGGAATACACTCTCAATTGGGGGGGTACCCAAGCTTATCTAATTCTGGAGAGTATTAGATGCAGATTGCCAAGTTTCAGTACTACAAATTGAGCCAGGCTGACTTCAAGCTCTATGAAGGGATGTGGAACTCTTTAGTCTAAGTCAGCGTGGTCCAACAGGTGGCCCGGTGGGTTATTTTATGTGGCCCACGATCATTTCCACCATTCCAACTTCCACACCCTCCTCCCTGGTGAACATCCTCCCTGGGCAGCAGCAGGAGTCGGCGGTTGGGAGGACACAGCACCTAAAGCCTTTACTGCAGTCTGTCAGTAGGGCAAGCGTCTGCAGATAGTGATCTGTGCCTGGGAGAGAGATTGGTAGGGTGTTGGGGGTGGGGGGGGGTGGGAAGAGAAAGAGGAGAGAGAGAGAGGGCAGGTGAGAGAACGGGGGAGAGAGCAGGGGTGGGGCTCTGGGCGCTCCGTTCTCCCAACTTCCGGCTCCTGCCGCTGCCCTGGGAGGATGTTCACCTGGGAGGGAGGGAGTGGGTTGGAATATTATAAATGGTCTCGGGCGGCCAGCTGGTCTACCCTGGATGCAGCCCGAGGACCTTTCTCAGATGGAATGCGGGAATGCGGCCTATGACAGCCAAAAGGTTGGACCCCCTGGTCTAAGCTGATACTCAGTGCATTGTTGGGCATGTGCTGCATTGTTGGAGGTGCTGTCCTTCGGACTGAGATCCTGTTTGCTTCAGGTGGATGTTAAAGATCCTGTGGTAATATTCGAAAAGAAAAGGAAGTTTCTCCTGTGTTCTGGCCAACAATCCCCAGGTAAAACTGATTTCATGGCTGTTTGTCTGGACGGATGTACCCTGCTTACCTAATTCCGGAGGGTATTAGGCACAGGTTGGCAAGAATGTGGAACCAGAGCTGGAATCTAACCAGATAAAACTGGATAGCTTGCCATTGAGAGAACTGTCTGGCAAGCTCTCCTGCTGCTTGTCCAATTAGGACCACCCTGTCCATTAAGGCTTTGGCTTGTAGAGTTTACAGCAGCTGAGTGGGAAGAATTCTTGGCACCACCTTGACAGCGATGGCTCTCTGTCCCGACCCTCCCACCCACCTGTAGCTAGCCTGTCCTCCCACACTGCAGTTCTCCCATTACTTACCTACTTAATTTGACAACTTATGCAGAGCTGTTGCTCATACAAGCATTTTCTTTATGCTCACACACTGGGGATTGCTACTGGGTAAAACCACATCTAATGTGAAACATGGGATTGGAAACATTTAACATGCATATTCTGTTATTTCTAAGATGAGAGAAATAAATAATTATTATGTTGAAAGTCTGAGTACTTTATAGTAAGGTTCCACAAATGGCCATAAGGTGAGTGACCAATTTTATGTTGAAGATTGTTTGCCAGGACACTGGGAGATATTCACTTCTCTATTCAAATATCGTCAAGGGATTTCAAGGTTCACCTGAGCAGGACATTTTTCAATGACTCACTGACCTTATTTAATGTCTCGCCAGAAAGATGGCAAATCTCCATTGGAGTGTCATCTTAAACTGAGCTCAGCTTCTCAAGTGTGGCATGAACCTTCTGACCAAGAGGTTAGAGTGCTGCAGACTGAGCCAAGCTGACAGTCATGCCTTTGCTGATTTAGAGCTGTTCAGGTGCCAGGAGCATTGCAGAGATATGCAGTAGGGAAATGGGTAAGTTCTGTCTGAAAGGCTGAACTAGATAAAAAGGATAAGCGTAAAATGTGAAGCACTGCTACTGTCCTAGTCTTGTTTTCATGCATCAGTTTCTGGAGAAACATAATTTCCATGTGTAGATGCCATGCATGGTGATCATCTTCCACAAAATACATTTCTGCATTTATACTCATAAAATTTAATGATTGGGTTTTTTAAAGAATAATTGCTTCATCACTATTTATTACATGGCAATTAGAGAATTTCACAGAGGAATAGTTAAGGAAAATAGACATCCTTTTGCATTGGTTTGAAAGGAGGAGCAGCACGCCCATATTCCAAATAATAATGTGCACTTCAAATAATGCCTATCACATAGATGAAATCCATTCACAGTTACGACTGGGAGGGAGAGCACAAGATATGAGTGTTGACCAAAAACACATTGAAAACTATTTGGTTTTAGAAATTTTGAAAGCAGGGAGAAGGGAAGCGAAGTAAGTGTTCCAGATCTAGACTTAGAGATCTGAAATTAACTGTTATAGAAATCAATCATCATATGATGCCTTTTCCTGCCTCATGTTACCAAGTGCCTCAGTTTTGGTTTCAATGAGGGTTAAAAACTGCTTTGAATTCCTTCTTACTCGCTCAGAGTGCTGCTGTGTTACCACAGTAGAGTGCCAACGAAGCACAGGAACAGTTCAGATCCTGTCTGTTCCCAATGCTACCCGCAGGTTGAGTCACAATTAGCACTTTGACAGATTAAATATTTGTGTCTTTGGTCTATTATAATGAATTTGTTTCAGCTCTTATTTCCAAAGCACGTGTTTCAATGCATGCTGGCCTTGGCATTTAAATAACTGCTTTTAATGTAGTTCAATAAAAAAAACTTTGCACTGAATCCAGTTTGTCTACAGAACTGTGATTGGCGCACAGGCTGTGTGCAATAGAATATGCATTCAAAGGTTCCTGTGTAACAATCATTTTTCAAATCTTCAAGGTCTACATGGTGCAATCAGCATAATATTGCTCATCCGTTTTTGCCTGAGTTTATTTTCTGAATGCTCGTATGTGCTAAGATGTTATGATAATCACAGAAAGACTTTCAGCCTAGTCAAGAGTGTACATTTGGGACTACATTCATCTGGAAGATTGTGTTTATTGTTTTTATATCTACGTTTTCTCCTAAATACTGTACAGTACAGTTTGCTGAAGTACACTACAGTGTCAGTCTGACTCGGTTGGTAGCATTCTTGTCTCTGAGTTAGAAGATTGTGGTTTTGATCCTGCAGTCTAGGCTGTCACCCCAATACAGTGCTGGAGGTGCTGCCTTCAGATGAGATATTAAGCTGAGGTCCCAAATGCCTGATATTAAAGATACCAGGGCACTATTTAAAAGAGAAAGCAGTTTCTCTCTCCCGGTGTCCTGGCCAACAATCTCCCAAATAAAATTGATCATTCGTGTCATGACTGATTTGGGAACATTGCTGTGCACAAATTGCCTACAAATAGAGTCGCTACACTAGGCAGTAAATCTTGTCAAGTGCTTTGAGACATTTTGATGATACGAAAGGTGTTGTATCATGCAAGGATTATTATTGTTAACAACTAGGGGCTTTGCATGCTCAGTAATTATTATATAAATAATTAATCATTTGATATAGCGCCTTTCACATCCGGAGGACATCTTCAAGTGCTTCACAAGATTTACTGTAAAGTGTAGTGACTGTGCTTTGTGGACAAAGCCAGCAGACAATTTGCGTATGGCAATGCCCCACAAACAGCTACGAAGTGAATGATCACTTTTATCGGATGGGTGGTGGGGTGTTATTGACTAGAACACTGGGAGAAACTCCTTTCTATTTTCGAATAGTGTGATGGGATCTTTTAACGGCCACCTGAATGGACAGATGGGACCTCAGTTTAACATATCATCCGAAGGTTGGCTAATAATTGACAAATATTGGTGTGTTTGCTGAGGCAGGTGCTGAGGGTGTAAGGCTATTGTATTTTGTGACTGGTGTTTACACATGTCCTTTGTTATCCAGTAAAACAAAAAGAAACATATACTGGGAGAATTCACAGGCCGCAGTAAAACAACCCAACTAGATGTGTATGGCTGTCTGGTGAGGACAGGATTGAGGTGGGCTGTGATCTTCTAGACGTCTCAAAGCGCTTCACAGAATAGACTGCAAAGTGAATTGACTGTATATTTTGTAAGCAAAATGCGGCAGCCAATTGTGCACAGCAGTGACCCGCAAACAGTCGTGGATTGAAATGACCAATTTATTATTGGTTTTTTTGAGGGATTATTAAAAGGTGTGTGGAGTAAGGAAACTTTCCCAAGGTTTCACCCTGCCGGGAATCAAACCCAAGTCTCTCGCTTGCAAATCAAATGCTCTAATTACTGAGCTACAGGACTCCACAGCTTAACATTATCTAAAGCAACAACAACTTGCTTTTATGGAGCCCTCCTCAAGCAGGGTAGCATCCCAGAGTGCTTGACAGTGGCAGAGCACGACGCTTGGTTGTCCTCCTCTGTATCCTCTCAATCACTGGGGAGGTGATCGTAGGCTCGATCGGATAGGAACTTCTTCAGGCACAACCTGAAGATGGGGAAGGAAGGGGCAAGGTGGAGGGACAGAGAAAGAGTGTTCCAGAGTTTTGGGGCATAGTGGCTGAATTTTAAAGACCGTAATCATATCACCCCCAACTTTCTTCAGCGTAAATGTGTCCAGTTTATCGCTCCTCATGGTCCATTCCCTCCATCCTCTTAACAACAACAACAACAAGATTCCATTTATAGAGCGCCTTTCACGTCGGGAGGACATCCCAAGGCGCTGTACAGTTGGGTCAAGACCCGAGCAGGGGGGAAATGGTCAGGGTGAGGGGAGGGAAGGGAGGGGGCGAGGAGGGGGTAGAGAGTTGAGAGGGGAGCTGAGGCACGGTCAAAGAGAAAGGTCTTGAGACCGGCCTTGAAGGAGGAAAGGGAGGAAGCAGCGAAGGCACTGGGGGATGGAGTTCCAGAGCCTCGGGGCTCAGAGGCTGAAGGCCCGGCCACCGATGGTAGGGCGGTTGGGGCGGGGGATGTGGAGCAGACCGGAGCCAGAGGAACGGAGAGTACGGCAGGTAAGTAGGGGGATAGTAGGTCAGAGAGGTAGGAGGGAGCAAGGCCGTGAATGGCCTTGTAGGTGAGGATGAGGATCTTGAATTCGATCCTCTGGGGGATGGGGAGCCAGTGGAGGCGAGCGAGGGTGGGAGTGATGTGGTCGCGAAGCCTGGTGCGGGACAGTACACGAGCTGCAGAGTTCTGAATGACCTGCAGCTTGTGGAGGGAGGTGCCGGGAAGGCCGGCGAGGAGAGAGTTCCCATAGTCCAGCCTTGAGGTGATAAAGGCGTGGACCAGAGTTTCAGCAGCGTGAGGGGTGAGGTAGTGCCGTAGTCTGGCGATGTTCCGGAGATGGTGGAAGGCGGTGCCAGTTGTGGCGCGGATATGAGGAAGAAAGGACAGCTCAGGGTCGAACAGAACCCCGAGGTTCCTGACTGGCTTTGAGAGGTGGAGAGTGCAGCCTTGGATGCTGATGCTGTCAGCGCCTGAGGTGCGGAGGCGCTGACGTGAGCCAATCAGGAGGGCCTCAGTTTTGCGCACGTTGAGCTGAAGAAAGTTGTCTCTCGTCCAGGACTCGATGTCGGACAGGCAGCTGTCAGGACATCGGTGGTTGTGGAGTTGAGGGTAGAGGAGGAAAGGTAGAGTTGGGTGTCATCCGCATACATGTGGAAGTTAACCCCATGTCTGCGGATGATGTCACCACAGGGGGAGCATATAGAGGGTGAAGAGGAGGGGACCGAGGACAGAGCCCTGAGGGACACCGCACAAGACAGTGCGGGGGCCGGAGGAAAAACCATTTGTGGAAACAAAGTGAAGACGGTGGGAGAGGTACGACCTAAACCCCTCAAGGACAGGGCCTTGAAGGTTGAGGTGGGAGGACAAGCGGTGGAGGAGGATAGCGTGGTCGACCGTATCGAATGCTGCCGATAGGTCGAGGAGGCAGAGGGAGCCCTGGTCGCAGATGGTCAGGATGTCATTGGTGACCTTGACCAGGGCGGTTTCTGTGCTATGGGCAGCACGGAAACCCGACTGAAGGGGTTCGAATAATGAATGGATGGAGAGGAAAGAGCGCAGCTGGGAGGCGACAACTCTTTCAAGGATCTTGGACAGGAAGGGGAGGTTGGGGATGGGCCGGTAGCTTGATAGCTGCGACGCATCAAGGGAGGGTTTTTTCAAAGTGGGAGTGATGATGGCAGTTTTTAGGGGAATGGGAACAGAGCCAGAGGAGAGGGACAGGTTGATAATGTCTGTGATATGTGGGGCAAGGAGGTTGTGGAGAGATGTGGAGTGGGGATGGGGTCAAGGGAGCAGGTGGTGGGTTTCAGGGATAGGATGAGTTTGGTGACAGAGGGTGGGGAAACGGGTACGAAGGTGTGTAGGGGAGAATGGGTAGGAGTTGGAGTGTGGGAGGGAGGGGGTGGTTGGAGGGGGAGTGACTGTGGAGCGGATTCCCTTGATTTTGGAAATCAAGGAAATCTAGCATCTCCTCACAGTGAAGGTTGGAGGAGATGACCTGCGCGGGGGGGACGGAGGAGTTGGGATGTGAAGCCTGGGGTTGTTCTTCGCCTCCAGGATTATCCATTTCGGTTGCCCTCCTCTGTATCCTTTCAGTCGCTGCAAAATCCTTTTTGTGTTCCGATGACCAGAACTGCACACAGTATTCCAAGTACGTTCGCACCAGTGATTTTTAAAGTGTCAGAATTACTCAACTATTTCGGCTCCATTGGGAGACTAGAAGAAAACATGTGCATGGGCACATAAACTGTTTATAATGTAAACTATTTTTTAAAAATCTAAACTCATCTTTGTATCTACATCTCTTCTTTTTTACCGAGAGAGTTGTTACGGTCTGGAATGCACAGCTTGAAAGGATGGTGGAAGCATATGCAATAATAGCTTTCAAAAATTAAAAAAATTCAGGGATACTGGGTAAGAGTGGGGCAGCAGAACAAGTTGTCAGCTCTTTTAAATGGCTAGCACATGCATGATGGGCCGAATGGCCTCCTTCTGTGCTGTAAGATTCTATGATTCTCAGTGCTAATTCAGAAAGTTGAGGGCTCAAACCTGCATTGGCAATGGAACTGTTTGCAAACACAGCTTTAAGCTTATAGTGACTGTGTTGTCAGTGGTTGACAGCACCTTCCATTAGATCCATGCAGTTGGTTCTAAAATTAGGCCTGGAAGACTCGCTGGAGATGGTATGTAAAAAGAGTTGGTGTGCTGTGCTAACTAATTACAGGTCTGATGGAGATCTCACAGTGATTAATCACTGGGGGAGCTGTGAGTAACATTGCTGTCTTTCACAAGATCTGTAATACACTGCACACACGCTGCAGGCAAACTTATTATTATCTAAAACATGTCAGTAAATATTGTATTATTAAATCATCTCCGTGTATGGGAAGGATTAAACTCCACAGGCTTTCTGCAGAATTCCTAGATACATCATATTGTTTGATAGAAACCGCATTGAACCCAAATCATTCACTACCAACTGGTTTCTGAACTTAGTGTAATATACTTGTTTTTTTGCTACACATACAGTCGATGTGCGAGCTAAACTGAGAAGTTAATTAAAGAGCTTGCCTTGATGACCTCTGTATCTGACTCTTAACTTTTTATTTTTCTCTAACAATCTTTCACTCTCTGATTTTTCTCTTCTCTGCCTCATTCTCTTATTTGCTCTCGCTCCTGCCTTAACAAATTGCTGAATAAATTGACTGACCTCATGTTGCTGGTTCTGTAAATTATGTACCTGGGGACTTCACATGTACCTGTTTTTGGCAGCATTGCAGTTCTGATTCACTTATAAGAGGACATAATAAGTCACCGTGCAGATGCTTACCATTATACTGTATGATGACAGTGGTGTATTGGTGCTGAAGGCCATAAATCTGGCGTCCTCAGCAGCTTCGGGGTTTGGGTTTGTTGAATGAGACTTAATTCTGCTTATTGTTGTCTGCTTTCATTGAATTTCAGGAGAAGAGGCAGAACATCATCCCCGCAGACTGTAGTGTGGAATAAACAGCACTCAGGGCACCAGTCAGAGGACAGGTTATTCCAGCTGACCATATCTGAAGGGAAGCCATCCTTCAATCAAGTGGAAAATAACTTGCGAACAGGAAGCAGTAGCCCCCTGGCTGTCCCAGAAAGGAGGTTAGTTTGCTCCTACCTCTCACTACATACTCTGATTTGGATTCGAAGCAGAATATGATGACGATGGAAAAAGCTCTGACTTGAGGGTACAGTAACAAGTGCAGGTCTCCTTCTGTCTACAGGATTCCTAAATAACTTGGAGGAGATATTACCTTTTCCAATATAAGGCTGCTGATGTTGGTGTGTTCAGGTGACACATGGGATAAATGATGTTCAAATGGATTTTAATGGAGAGGTAATACATGTCAACAATAGAGCACAACAAAAAGGGTGGCCCATCACAGTGGCGACCATCTGCAAAAGGCCTGCTGGAATAGGATTTGGCCGAGATTCAGTGAACTTGCAGTCAATGGGAAGCTGTAGGAACAAAGTGAATTCCATACTTTAATGCGTATAGATGGAGAGAGTTTGGTTGCTAGAGTTTGAAATTCAGCACTACAGATACCTATTGACAGGTTTACACCAAGTGGAGGCTCGTGCTTCTCTGACCCATGTGGTGAGTGGGTGGAACAGATTCCCAGCAAAGGCAATTGAGGCTGTCATTCAGAAATAAACTGATCGGTCTCTTAATAATAATAATAATCCTTGAATTTGATATAGCGCTTTTCACGTCGGGAGGACGTCCCAAAGCGCTTCACAGAATACACTGTAAAGTGAATTGACTGTATATTTGTGGGCGAACGCGGCAGCCAATTGCGCACAGCAATGTCCCACAAACAGTCGTAGATTGAAAATGACCAATTTATTATTGTTTTGTTTTGGAGGGATTATTATTAGGCTCTGTGTGGAGTAAGGAAACTTACCCAAGGTTTCGCCCTCTGCCTGGAATTGAACTCAGGTCTCTCGCTTGCAAAGTGAGTGCTCTATCCACTGAGTTACAGGACTCCACAAATGGGAGTCCTTTTTCCAAATGGGAGGTTCCAGGTTATAGGGATAGGCTGTATGTTTTGATGGTTCCTGTCGGAATTTGGAGAGGTTGTGTTGAAATAAGGAATTGGGTAACTGTTCTGAATTTTGCTTAGTTGATTCTCTTTTACGATCAAGAAGTATTTGTACAAAGCTCTCCCTCAGGATATACACGATGGACATCATTCTGTGGGGCATCGCATGTACAAAATGTTGCTTTGTGTACACAATGGCATTGTTCTCGCTCTGTATTTGTCTTCTACAGCTCTCTGATACATAGGGTGGTGGAGGCATGCTGGCATGTGTGTGGGGTTCTACATATATTCTGCAATCATTAATCGCAGCATAAACCCACTTACAGAATTTTGTTTATAAAAATCTTCTTGGCATTTGATGCAAGACAGCCTAGAAACATGTGCTGGGCATAATTGCAGCAGTACTGCACCATCAAAATCTCACCTTGGATTGCCTTAAAACAACTGTCTGCTTGTGCTCAAGGCTACAAGCTGTGCTTGGACATTGAGTGAATATGCATATGTGCAAATATTGCTCCAGTGGCTTATGGTACCTTCAGTCAACATTTGCTCTGTACCTTTCTCTCCACCCCTCCTCCCCTCCCCACCGAGTTACCCAGGCGATGGCTCCAGTAGCAGATCACAGATTTAGTGGGTTGCATCTTCTCTGGGACCATGCATTGTGGTCTGTATCACTGATGCCAGACTGCTAAATGTTTTACTCTGAGATGTGTTGGATACTCAGTGTGATGTAGGTATTCTGATTGTTTCTTGCGCCTGTGAGTAGAAATGCTGGCACCATTCAAGCCCCAGACAATGCTGGAGGTTCTATTCATCAGGTGTGGATCTGACCTGCCAGGCAGACTGAAACTGGAAACCACCCGCACCTTTTGGATAATAATAATAATCCTTGGATTTGATATAGTGCCTTATCACATCTTCGAGACATCTCAAAGCGCTTCACAGGATACACTGTAAAGTGAATTCACTTGTATGTTTTGTGGGCGAAAAGTGGCAGCCAATGGCGCCATGCAGTGTCCCACTTTATTATTTGTTTATTTAGTGTTACATTGGATGTAACACTGACCCTTTTCTCTGTCTGATGCTAAGCCTTTACTGCTTGTCTCTGCTTCCTGCCTTTCTCTGGTCCTCCTGTAGCGTGCTGTTGCCACTCCACCCATTCGCTGACTAAACCACTTACTGATGTTACTCTTTGTATTGTTTGTTTACCATGTAGCTCCTCTCACTGATTAGGTCTGTTCACGCTAAAATAAATTGCCAGTTATTTAAAAGAGAATCAAGTGGTGAAGCTTTAATGAGAAAGCTCTTCCTCTCTCTCATCCAGTTAAACTTTCAAAAGTTATCCATTTGAATTATTCATAATATTTTTGATCTCTTTGCACAACTTTTGTTTACAATATAAGATTCTCCCCCATGTGTTTCCCGAAAAGCCACCTAGTTCCAGGACTAGTATGTGAGCACACTGTAAAGATCAATACAGACCTGCATGCTTCCCATTCCTTTACCACAGGACATTTCTCTGCCACAATTTGCATTCAAAGATTAGCAAGTCTGCACAGAGTTGTTGAGGTGGTATTAAATCATGAATATCTTTGCTCAGGGGGAAGAGTTTTGTATCTCAACTAAATCAATAGAGTAAAAGAAATCCATATTAGTTTTCAAAAAAAACTAGACAAAATACCCTAAAAAGGAATGAAACATCAGGGCTATGGGCAAAGGGCAGGTAAATGGGACTGAAAGGATGGCTCTTAAAGAGCCAGCAGACACGATGGTCTAAATTGCCACCTTCGGTGCTGTAAATTTCTGTGAAAAAAACTTGGAAACTGATCCTCATTAATAATTTGAATTTAAGATCAATTGTAATTCTCCGAATTTCTTCTTACCTATACTTTTCTATTTCATTAACCTTTTGGAGTCCAGTTACTTCCAGCACGAGAAACCATAACCTCAGCATTGCAAACACCATAACTTATTAGCCTTTGGTGATGTCATTAGCTTCCACTGTAACTTGATCTACAGTGACCTGCAATAACTAGTAGCCTCTGTAGTTTCCAAATGAGAAGGAGTACGTTATGTAGCCCCCTCACTGCAGCATGCTTCTGGTGTGGCTCTCGAAGAAATCCTCCAGACAATAGACCCAGACTAACGTTGCTGGATTCACGTGCCTGGAGGCCTCACACGAGCAAGGCAGCTGATTTGGAGCTCGCCCGTTTATGGGAAGCATGTGGGGCAACCACAGAAATGAATGAACCATTTTATTAACCTTGGTCCAGAGGCCTGGTTATGCTTACTTTGTATTTCACTGTCTTCCTGTGCAGCTCCACAGAGTATTGTCATTCTTCAGCCTCGTCCACGGATTTTGGCAGCTGGCAGATCGTGTCTGGCTGTGGCAGTATTCATGACCAGGCTGTAGTTCCCAATGACTCACCTCTCCCTTTCTACACTCAAGATGACGGAAGCAACGGGAGATTGTGAGTGTCGCTGAAATATGCAACTTTTCATTCCAAACATTTTAGATACACAGAGAGCTAAAGGTGTGTCTGTCTGTCTCCTCATCTCGGCCTCCAGTTCCTGCATTCTTTCAGTCAGTTTCCAATCTCAGCCCGTGCTAAGCGCGGACAATAACCTTTCCCGGAAAGAAGGGCAGCTCAACTATTCTTCATATAAGTACCAAGTAGCTGGTTTAAAGTTGCAGTGCAGAGGCCTTTCCCATCGCAGCTGTGCTGTAACCTGACCTGTTACATGAATCTACATGAATCGTAGAGATTGGAGCACAGGAGGAGGTCATTTGGTCTAACAAGTCTAAGCTGTACCTAGCTCCTCAGATCCCCACGCCCTGCTCTTTCCTGTGCCTTTTAATATTCTTCCTCTTCAAATCTCTTTTAAATATTATGTTTTAGCCTCAAAAGTCACTTATGGCAAAGCATTTCATATCCCTCTGTTTGAAAACCTTTCTTCTAACCTCCTTAGCTCTTTCACTGATGATCCTGAGCTTATTGCTTTTCCAACAAGCGTGAATATTTTTTCACTACGTGTCCTCTCAAACATTTTCAGACTCTGTTAGAGGCTTCTTAACCTTTCCAGTGGAAAGTGATTCAATTTTTTTAGTATATCTTCACAACCCCTTTAACCCTAGTATCATTCACTTGACTCTACACTGCACGTTTGTAATGGGGCTTGCAGAACTGCACGTCTAACGAATGTCCATGAGACTTGTGACTGAGGTTGGGCAGGTTGAAAGAAGCACCAAAGCAAAGCATAGAGTTAGAAATGAATAGCCTGAAAAGGCAGGAGATTTTATGTAGTGCAACCACTTGCACTCAATAAAAAAATAATTCTTATTCTTAACTAACTATCTGAGGTGTAACCCATGAGAAAGCGAGCTGCAATCAGAACAGAATTGATGCTGATATCCATTGCTTTATGCAGTGCAGCACGGCTGACATGGTCACTGAACTTCCTGAGAATCATTTTGTGTTCTTTATTGGGACTGATCACCTAATGGCCAGAGTGTGGTCTCAATACTCCGTTTCAATAAGATGTTCAATCTCACAGGCATGGTGAGAGAGTGAGGGATTTTAATGGGAAATTAGTAGTGGCTATGAGGAAATATTTTTTGACATATTTAATGCAATATTTTACGACTGGACAGAATCGGAGTTCTCATTTAGCTTCCACTGTTCTGAAAATCTGAAAGTAAGCTTGTTGAGATTGATCTTGAATAGGGCCTAAATGTATTTGTTTATGAATCACTTTTATTCCAATGACTCAGTGGCTGAAACAGCTTTAGACCATTCCAGAACGAAAGACACCAGGTTGTAATGCCATCTCTGCTGAGTTAATTGATCTGAGCCGGAACAGCAACTGGGGCTACAGTTGGATTCACTGCCTCTCAGCTAGAGAGGGGAAAGATTAGCAATGGTTACTGATCATCTAGGTTGCCAACTCTCATTGTCAAAACTCAAGTGAAGAGCAACCAACTGGTTGAGGCTCGTGGAACTGATTGCAATATCAGGATTCAAATGTCTTCCGGAGAAGGAAAGTGTGGGTAAAGGTTGTGGGGAAAAACCTCCCAAAGGTTGAACTTTCTCATTGATTCCCTTTCCATTTATTCCTGTTGGAAAAAGTACCAAGTCAGGAACAAAACAGTCAGGCAAAACTTATACTGGCACTCTGCGGTGTGGCTAGAGCTCCACAGATAGTTGAAGAAGGATGTATCCTGTTGGTAATGTTCCCTGCAGGGCATGTTCCCAGTTGCAGCTGGATCAATGGGAGGGGAGGAAGCTCCATGCAAATATGAGGCAATGTTAAACAAATAAACTCTGCAATTGATTTCATTCCATCAGCTCTTGTGAGTCTCCAGTAACCTATCAGAGGCTTCTTAACCTTTCCATTAATCCCAGTAAACCTGCTCCATGTCCCCCGACTGTCCTACTCCCCCACTGGCAGTCGGGCCTTCAGCCTTTCTGCCCTCGCCCTTTGGAGCTCCATTCCACATTCCCTTTGCCTTGTTCCCTACCTTGCCTCCTTCAAGACAAGTCTCTTCGACTGTGCCTTCAGCCACCCATTTACCTACCTTTCACTCTTCCTCATCCCAACCCCCATGCTAGGGTCCGAATCCCTGAATGTCTAACGCCTTGGGATGTCTTCGTGACGTGAAAGGCGCTATCCAAATGTAATTTTTTTATTGTATTAGAGATTATCATTGACCAAGACAATAGGTCCTTTCAGTTATGAAATCAAAATATGGTTTCTGACTGATTGATCCAGGCTTTGATTCTGCAACAAAGTAAGTTTGGGCATTCTCGTTCCTAATGGATACAGACACTTAGACTGACACGATTTTCCCAGTTTTACTCGGGTCACAGCTGTGTCTGAAATGGAAATGTCACATTGATGTAATAGTGGGCCTCTTCTGAGGTTAATTTTGAGCATTATGGAATGGGCAATGTTGCTTTGTGTCGGCAATTCATATAAATGGTTCTCGATCAGTCATATATAGGGCCTGCTGAATTTATTTACCTCTATCCTATTTACCCTACTGACAGCACCAGCCTGTTTATGTTCCCTGCTGGATCCACGCAACCATCACTGACAAGCTTTTAGCCATTCTGATTCTGTTCCCTGGAACTCCATTTGTTCAGAGAACAACAACGCATTACATTTGTATAGGGGCAGAGTAGCTAACTATTCTTGAGCAGATCCCTCTGACTTGCTTCCTCCCTCACCTCGTTCAAGGTACATTTGAAGCCGTATCCCTATGACTAGGCTTTGGGTTATCTTTGCCCTCCCCACTCCCTTTGACTTCCAACCCAGGGCTCGGATGCCCAGCAGTGTCAAGTGCTTTGTACATCCTCCCAACGTGAAAGGCACTCTATAAATGTATGTTGTATAGTAACTGTATCAATTTGTTTCTGTTGCAGGTTTCCCATCATTCCAGAACGCAGAGCCAAGCTGGAGGAAGTCCGAGCCATCTTCCTAGCTGCTTACAGTTCAACCGTGGGTCTGAAATCAGTGTCGTCCAGCCCATCGGCTTTTGGCGGACTTCTGGAACAGTTTGCACGGGGAGTTGGACTGAGAGGCACCAATAGCATTGTCTGACCCAACGTTGTTTAAAAACAGTTTGAGCCCCTTGCAAATCTCAACTGGGTAACACCAAAGATGGCCTCAACCAGACCTCCTTTCACCTCGTCACCTTAGTCTTTTAAAACTGATTTAGGATTTTTTTTCATTTCTGAAGTTGATGTCCTGATGCGGCCAAAGATACCTGAATGTCCCAAGTGTTGCAAGGAAGGAAGGAAACAAACCCTGGGTCTGACATGGTCTGCTCTTTGAGATGAAACTTTTGGGACTCTTAAGGGACTGCTATCGTGCTGCTGGGGAAGTTAAAGTTCTATTGTAGACATGCATTTTTGATTTGCAAGCCAGATATTCCTGTGCTGAGAGAATTGGAGGAAATGGTGATCACATCAAGTGCCTGCCTTTTCACTAGCTTCACAGCTGTACTTGTGGACTTTGATTCCTCACCTGTCACTGATTAGATGTTGGCATTTCTAACTTGCAAGCCCCTTTAAGGCTTCTACTGAAGATTGCTAGGTTTGGTGAATGGGTTAAAACTCTGTTGCACAAATATGATCGTTACATTCAGCAGAGTTTTCTACATGGTTATCAGTTTCATTACAGCTATCTTAACTCAAGCTACCCCTAGTAGCAGCTTAATAACATTCTCTGAAATGCAAACAGGTCTTACCATGGAAGCACCTTTTCCTCACCTCTCTTTCACCTACAAATATCTGAGTGCTGCATTGGTTAGCTACATTCTCAGTCACTTTTACATTTAGGCAGGGTTATGTGAATCAAGCTGCCTGGCTGATGTAAAGCCACAATAGGAAAGTGAGCAAGTGAATTAAAAAACCGTGATGTGGAGCGGATGTTTGCGCTAGTATTAGAGGCTTCAGTAAAGATTTTGATGGTAGAGATGATAGGTTATCCAGCTAATCTGAATGGATTTAAATGGTAGTCTCCATGAATATTGTCGTAATTCAGTATGTTAATATTATTAGTAAAACTTATTTAATGCAGTAGCCTACCGAGAATCTAAAGATGATAGGTAAAATTATTCTATTTTTAATACTACATTTTAACCTGCTTAAAAACTGAATATTTTTGTGATTTTTAAAATAAGAGACACCCTATTTATCAGCGTGGTTCAGTCCCTATTAATTCTGTTCAGTCCCTGCCACTATCTTTGTGGAAATGCAACTGATCTTGGTGTTCCGCTGTTTAGTGCAATTGTGATTAAAGAATACACAGGGCAAGAATAATAATAATAATCCTTGTATTTGATAAAGCGCTTTTCACGTCTTCTAGACATCTCAAAGCGCTTCACAGAATATGCTGTAAAGTGAATTGACTGTATATTTTGTGGGTGAAACGCGACAGCCAATTATGCACAACAGTGTCCCACAATCTGTCGTGGATTGAAAATGGCCAATTTATTATTGTTTTTGTATTTGGAGGGATTATTATTAGGCATGTGGAGTAAGGAAACTTGCCCAAGGTTTCGCCCTGCTTGGCATTGAACTCAGGTGTCTCGCTTATGAGGCGAGTGCTCTAACCACTGAGCTACAGGACTTCACAAGTAGGGAGAGAAATGCCATTACAGGAACTAGAGGGGGAGAGGAGAGAAGCAATTCATGGCGAACAGCTTTCAGCTTCTGGTCAGTTAGATTTTCTAATTTTATTCGTTATATTTCCCCAATCCCTAAACTCTTCTAACGCAGCCAAATTGTAGTTGGTGAACGTGACAGACTAGGGATGACGTGTTCACAGAAAGGTCAGAGTTTGTGGCAGAGAATTGGGGCTGGCTAACCTGTTAAGTGAGCACTTTGTGTATCACCGTGTGTTTGCACGCGTGTATGTATGTATGTGTGCATGCACTTAAACCAAAAATCTCCTTAAACAGCAATTGACACCCTAACTTTTTATTCCACGTTTAACAGAACTGTTCTTCGTGTAGATGAAGCATGACATCTTATTCTACATAGGTTTGTTCCAGGAGGTAGATGCACAGCAATTGATGTTGAGTCTTGTGCTTTTTTGGTTTCTGTAAAGTGTGCTGTATTGAGACATTTTGTTGGTTAGTGTCAATCTATTACCCAGTATAGAACTCTCCTCTTCCCCTCCCAGTTTAGTGAATGCGTATGAACCAGTCTCTCGTCTGGGAGCTTAAGCCTCTAGCAGAAGATCCTTTATGCCTGATGCCTTTAGTTAGTTAACATTAACTGTTAACTGTACTCCAGGAAGTCCTAAGCCACTTGGCCACTTTGTTATCAAATGTGAATGGATTTTGTTTAAAATTTGAACTGTATATAATGGAAGGGAGCTTTTCAATGACGAATAACTATGTTATTTAAGTAATGCAGAGATTGTAGTGAGTGTTATTCTCCACTTCTATACCAGCAATGCGTGTTATACTTTCAAAGATAAATACCCCTCTTATTCCGTTGCTTCCTCAAAATCAATTTATTAAGATGTGTGTGATTGTTGCCTTCAATAAGCAACTAATTTCTGGTTGTTCTATTAAGGAACACCTCAGCCTACTAATATGCTAAAGGTTGTTTCTTATATCTCATATCTTCCTTCTCTGTCGATTCAGGACGCCCGCATGAGCTTAGGAGATTCTTAGTGAGAATACTCCCTGGTGTGTTTAGGAAAGCTGTCTTGAAGTAATTTAAGAAATTAGTTGGACTGGAAGATGCCATCATCTGGTCCAGCTACCCAATGTACTTAGTCGACTATAGTCCCTTTATTGGTGCTGGGATGGGCAGTGTCTGGTGAGAAATAAGCAGTAAATCCCCCTGATCGTGAGGTAGAATGCTGCAATAGGAGGAATTGTGCTAACCTGAGCCAGAATAAGTCTCTTCGCTGAGGAGAAACCTGCTTCTTAGGGGCAGCAATTCTGGTAAATTGGGTGTCTCTTTTATGAATAATGCAATAAACTCCATTTTAAACTTTCCATTTTAAACCCCCAAGTTGCAAAGTCATGTATGTTATTTCAAACCCAACACCGCATCAGTCAACTAATCTCTGCATGAAACCCCTTTCTTAAAACCTATAATTTTTCAACACTTTCTCTAGGATTGATGAGCAATGGAAATCCATTTAAAAATTGAAAACTGCTGAAATTTTTTTTAAATACCAAGATTAATTTCAAAATACATTTCCTTCAACTTCTGAGGTTTACATTCTTTGGTGATATTTTGCTTTATGCGCTTTTAGAAATTGCCAGACCCGGAAGTGGTCCCTTAAACAAATGCTATCTGCATTACTGTGCATTCTGTTTTCATGCCAGCTTTGGAAATTATGACGGTGATGAGTGAAGTCTGCTTTGAGGGTTACGTTTGATGGTTAGATTTGCAACAGCAGCTGGATGGGATTGCCTTGGTTTAGAAAGCAGAATCCACACGGACAAATAATGCTCTTTCACAGTCTCTCAATCTAGTGGTGTGATTGTGAGGGTTACTTCCGTACACCTCTCAGCTGCCTGGAAGATGGTTTGCATGGCACTGCAACAGCTGTTTTGGTTACAAAGTATGGACGTAGAAAGTATTTGCATTGTCCAGAGATTGTGGCCAGCAATGTGTGTCAAATATTAAATGTTTCTTGTGCAGTTATATAAATGGTTTGGGCTGTTTATTATGCTAAGATCATGTAAGCAGTGAATGCTACCTTTCTCTCCGTGGTAATGATGGACACAGTTGGTTTGGAAAGCAGATTTAGCAGTCTATGCCTTTACTCTGCTTACAGCAGTCACCCTATCGAGCTAGGAGAATTTGGGGTAAGGTATTAACTCTCCTGGAACTTTATTGAGACTGGACTTAGCAATCTCTCACTGGGGTGGCCCGTGGTCTCTGTGGATCTGTGGATCTCTGACCCGTGGTTGGGATCATTGACCCCAGTGAACTGCCAAGTCTGGGGTTTGTTTTGGCCTTGTGCAAAAAAAAACATCATTATTAACATGTTCACTTGTCCTGAGGAAACATACCCAGTAGTGTTGGGTTATTTTCCATTGTAAGATCTTGAAAGGAACTTGCTTGTGGAATATTTAGTGCTCCGTTTGTCCGAAGGCATTGCTACACTGTGAAATATCTTGCAATTGTAAGTGAGTGTTATTCAGGGCGGTTTCAGGTGGTGGACTTTGCATGTGTATAATTACCACAGGTTAGTTACCATATAAAAATAAAAATTCTTGACTCAAGAACATTGGCTTCATTGTTTTTGTGAATCCATTGTACATGCACAGAATCATTCTTTCTTAACAAACAATACAGTAAATTAGCAAAAAAATAGCAGAAAATACTAATAGGTCAAGAGCACTGTCGAGCAATCTACTAATTGGGATGGATATTGTTGGATTTGTCAGTGTGCAATGTGACAGATCCAGCATTCGCAAACTGCAATTCATTCAAACCTCCGCTGCCTGCTTTCTCACCCACACTAAACTGTCCATCATCCTAGGCCTCAGTAGTCTACATTGACTCCCTCTGCATCTCCCCTCCTTCCTTGCTCAATGTCTAAAGCTCTGAAACACTCTGAGACTTTACCTGAAAAGTGTTATGCAAGTGCAAATTGTTGTAGATGTAATTGTTAGAAGGTTTTTTCTAAAGAAACTACAGCATAATCCTCTATGTTTCACATTCTTTTCAGCTTTGTTGTTCCCAGGGCCACATGGTTAGCTATGGAAAGACCATGCCAAACACCTTTATACTCCCCTCAAACTTAGATATGTAGTTTCCCACATTGTAAGGAGCCATTGTAACCCATATCTACCTTAATAGTCATGGTGTGGAACGTTCAGCTCTATGCCGTCACCTTTGCTTTCTGTGGCACTTACTGCTCCTACTTTTTGTGATATATTGGGTTTATCACCGATAAATGGCGCTATATACATGCAAGTTGTTGTTGTTGTAATGCTGATATTTACCTTTTACTGTGCTTGAACACTTGTGTATACCTGTTGGGAGGTGTAGGTGTGGATGCAGGTAGGATTTGGTTGGTTGTGATGCCTCACCCTGTGAATTAGACACAAGGCCTTTGTGTGTCTAATTCACAGATGCTGTCCAGCATGAAGGGCACTATATAAATGCAAGTTGTTGTGTACCCACTGCCACCCAACCCACCACCATCTCCTACTGCCCGGGAATNAAAAAAATCTCCCTCCCCTCACACCCCACTTCCCTCTCTGCTGTCTTGGGAGTCATCTGAATTCCCCCTCTGGGCTTCCTCCCGCAATGACCTATCCTCCTCGGTTACTCTCCTCTACCATTTCCTCTCCACCACTCTCGATACCCTTGTTCCCCTCACTTCTCGAACCATCTCCCACTCACGAAAGTCACCCTGCTACACCAGCCAGTTCTGCTCCTTTAAGGTACAGGTGCATGCCGCTGTATACACCTGGCTCAAATCGTTAACAGTCCATCGGCAGATCTGGCTGGACTTCATCAAATCTTACCACTCTGCTCGCCTCTGCTAAATCATCATTCTACTCCAAGATAACCCCAGATTCCTCTTCTCCATCACTAACCGGCTCCTCTGCCCACCCTCTCACACCTCGCCCATCCTCACCTCCAATGCCAAGTGCGAGGCAATGCTGGACTTCCTCGAAAGCCAAGTCGAGGGGATCCGCTCAGCTCCCTCTGTCCTTCCGTCTACTACTTCCTCCCCATCTACCTCTCACACCCTGGCCCATACCTATCCCTCCCTTCACACCTTCAAACCTGTCTCCTACTCCTCTCTCACCACCCACTATAACCCGCATGAAACTGACCACCTATTCCCTCAACCGCATCCCTACCCCTCTCCTTACCTCCACCCACTTGACCCTCTACTCAGACATCATAAACCTCTCCCTATCCACTGGCACTGTTCCCACCCCTTTAAAAACAGGCATCATCACCCCTATCCTTAAAAAACCCTCCCTGCTCTAAAACTACCGCACCATCTCCAACATCCCTCTCCTTTCCAAGGTCCTGGAATGAGTTGTTGCTTCCCAGCTTCATTCCATCCTCTCCTGCCACTCCCTTCACAAACCCCTCCAATCGGATTTCCGTGCCGCCCACAGCACAGAAACAACTTTGGTCAAAGTGACAAATGACATTCTGTCCATCTGCAATCAGGGCTCCCTCTGCCTCCTCATCCTCCTTGATCTCTCTAACTTCGATACCATTGACCACTCTATCCTCTCCATCGCCTCTCCTCTCACCTCAACTTGCATGGTTGTGTCCTTGAATGGTTTAGATCCTACCTCTCACACTGTCTCCACTTCATCTCCACAAACTATTTCT